ATAGGCCCCATAGGCCCATAGTAGCTCCTTTTCGGGATTACGTTATGGGATTCTACAACACACATATCAACCCCAAAAAGGAACTACTATGGGGCCCAGGCACAAGACGAGACAATCTGCATCGCCCAATCTCCAGCATATCCGCCCCAAGAAGCTGTGCCGAACCCTGAACCCGCAATGCAGAGGCCTCTTCATATGTAGAATCCTGCAAGATACGCCCAAAAAGGAACTACGATGGGGCCTATGGGTAAACCGACCCCTAAACCCGGAACCCTCAAGCCCCACATTCAAGACCACCAGCCCTTTAATTATAGGGTTTAACACCGAAAACAGTAGGTTTTTGGATCCCAAGGTAAACCCTAAACCCGGAACCCTCAAGCCCCGTCAAGTCGTGATCGGGACAATCCGGACCTGATGCATGCTGCGGGCCGACCTTGGTCAAGGCAATCGCTGTGCCCTTGATTTGGGATTCAACAGCCTTTGCTTTTAGGGTTTAGGGTTTAGGACATCTCTAGATGTAACAATGCGACTGTTGCCCCGAAGAAGCCTGAGAAAAATAATGATGCTCGAAGGCTCTGACCACCAGAAACAGGCTGGGATTGCAATGCGCACCTCTAGTTCAAGCAAGTAAAGATACTCATAACAGATGTATCTGTTGATGCTCCTAGCTGTGGGCTTCAGATGCGCTTGCTAAACAAGACCGGGCAGTCGGACACAGACGACTCTAAAAAGGGCTCCCGACCGGTGCTGGCATACCGTTCACCTGCCACACTGCTGGCGTTCAAGCCGGCTGCAAAACAAGGCAAAAGAAACAACATCGAAGCGTCACAGCGTAACGTTGAACAGATGGTGCTTCAATCTGTCAATACCATCTCTGTCATGACCTGTAGCACGGTATGGCCTAAAGATGAAGATACCGATCGCCATCATCACCGTGATCAGCATCATCGTCATCACCATGAGCATCGTCACCATCACCACCGTCACCATCTTCGTAGTCGTCATCGCCATCGCAATCATCACCATCATCATCATCAACAACATCATCACCATCATCATCATCTTCAACATCATCAGCAACATCGCCATCATCATGCCAAACACAGACGAAGCCGCAGTGCTCGATCGCTGGTAACAGTAGCGACCAAACGTCTGACAACGGATGAGAACGGTGATGATGATGAGACTGACCACGGATCATGTAGACGTCACTACATGCATGTGCGGAGTCGTGGAGAAACATAAGAACCAGACACTCCTTTCCATTGCTTATGGAGCTGTTTTTATCTAACTGTCATGCAAATTTGCCGAACTGCCCAATCCATGTTGTCACCCGTAATGACAAGAATGCATGCGTCGTTGCAAGCAGTCGAGCGCGGGTTTCAAAGGACACTTTAAGACAGACACTTCGTAACTAAACATTTGGTTAAAGGGCCAATAAGGGCATCAGCCCCCCAAGCAAGCTCATAGAACCCTTATTATAGACCCATCAAAAACCATTTAGACATCTTGCCCTGACAAACTATGTAGGCGAGTTCCGGCAAGCCACACTTATAGCCTGCAGTGTTATTTTGCTCGTGCCTCGCCGCCACCAGGTCCGGAACCACCTGGCAAACACAGGTCGCTTGGGTTTGTGGTACTTAAGAAACAACCGACTCTAGGGGGCATATTATAACATTCGTATGAAGTGAGGATAAGGGAATCCGTCGTACCATCAGTTTTCGGACTCCGTGGTCTCCGGCGTGTAGGGTTTAGGCGGCTCGCGACAAAACTGCTTTCGGATCATAAGCTGCCTGGTTCCCTCTCTGAAATGCAAAGGCCTTCATGGTGGGCATAATGCCAGGGCTTCGGACTGTAATTCATCTTGCGAGATGATATGGTCTAGCCTGGTAGGGTTTAGGGCTTGAGCTTAGGGTGATGATTTTGATGCTCAGGTTGAAGCTAGGCACATCCGAACTAGTGTTTGTGTCCGTCGTCTAAGTTCCCAGTCCCCCCCTCATATCCCCGGATATTGATACCAGGCTTGGCGTGTCCCCGCCGGAGGGACTACATCCTCTGTTGCCCTTTTCAAGCCAAGGCGAAAGAAGGTCGTGTCTCCACACAGGGCGGGAGCGGGGTTTTGCAAAGGGAGAGGGGTTCTACACGCAGTGCTGAGTGTGCTCACGTTCTCATAGGGAAACCGCAGCGTGGATCATTCAAGCTTATGGTTATCATTGGCATAAGTCCCACCCCGAGGTTCTGAAGCGGCAGCCTAAACCCTAAATCCTAAAACCTGCAGCAGCAGCAGCAGCAGCAGCAGGCCTCAGGCTATTGGGCTTTGGGCCTAAGTCGCCTGGCATCCACCAAGATTGACCCCTCAACCCGCGACCGAAGACTACAGGATACGAAACCCCCGACACGACACACACAGCTCAAACTCTCTAACATCGACCTCAACATCTACATGCTGCAACTTAGGCTGGGTTTAGGCTTCGTGGTGGAATTTACGAGATCTGAGACTGAGGCTTTCTGCGCTCAAACTGCTACTTCGGCACAGAACCCCTTAAAGCTACCGATAGCCTGTAAGACTCTAAGTCCGCAAGCCGCGGAGGCCGCCTGCTTCCAGCATTCCGAAGTATTCCTAATGCAAGCCCGAACCGAGCATTTCTTCGAGCGAAACCACCAGGCAACTCTACACACAAGCCCAGAGGCAAAACAAGCCGAGAACCAAGAGCATGCCACCTCCCAGGATCAAAAGCGTCACGCTTTCTTTTCCAGGCCTTGAAGCGTTCAGGATTTGGTGGACTTGGGCTTTCAGATTTGGGGTAGAGGGTGGCCCTCTAATATCGACAAATAAACATTGGAAGACATTTGTGTGAAATAGGATAAGACCACTCTGTGACAAGGACCCACAGCGACCCCGAGCAACAGTTTTGGGCTGGAAGTTTAACCCAGTGCGTACAACAGCAAGCCGTGCAGATGTCCGAATGTTGTCGAATGGCAAGCTTCTTCACCCTAAGGCGGACAAGCCAAAGAGGCTACAAGTTGCAGAATATAACCTGGTCATCAACGGCTCTCCTATCTAACCCAAGTCTTCCCAGTGTCAAGACGAAGAGGTGAAAGACAGATAGCCTCAAAAATCAGAGACCAAATTCTGACTGTAAGGGCCCTCGTCCCGACAACCTGCCCCCAATTTTTTTAATCCCCACCCTGATCTTATAAAGACTAAGATCAGCTGCGTGGCAGACCAGAAACTTGGAAGAGCTCAGGATACTTCTGCAGCCAGCTCCTGTGATGAGCTGAGATAGGGTTTAGGGCTTAGGGTTTGGGGAATGTTGCAACTTGAGGGCATCTTGTGTGGTCTACACGAGGGTGTCTCGATTGGGACTTTAAAGTATGCGTTTGGGTCCAGCGCTTGGGCATGCAACATTCAAGGAATGACAGCAGGCTATGAGGAAGGTGGGACATCTTCTTGTGTTGCTTGCCCACCTGAAATCTCAGGAGCAGATCCTATCTGTGAACCAAGCCGAGAACCACAAGTAGATTGCCCACTCTGAGTAGCAATGTGGCATGAAAATGATAAAGAAGCGCTTGGAGAATGTGGCCAACCAGAAGGTGATTTGAGCATGGGCAGTCGAATCCAGATGGTGCCGTCATTGCGCATGTCAGTATTAATCATTGAGACGGCAGTACGATGCACACTGAGACGACCTTCAGCTGAAAGTGTGCTCCTAACTGTGTGACTGGAAAATGATACCTTGAAACGCCGCAGTCAACAACAAAGACGACGGCACGGAGCGTAGCTTCGAGTGCGATGTGTGCATGGACGTCTATGCGACGTTCATTAATGATGATAGCAATACTAATAACAATATTATTCACAATACGAATAACGGTAACAGTATCAGCACCAATAAGAAATAAAAATAGCAACAACAAGAGCAATTAACCAGCAACAAGAAACTTAAATACAGTATGAACTACTGTTAATAGCAGTATTTGACAATTATAGCAACTCTCTGGCATACCTTAATGACCCTAAACTATAGGAAATATTGCATACTGATTATTATATGTAATTTAGCCATAATACATGCATAAGCCCAGACGACTTCCCTTCGAGCCAGCAGAACTGCTTCTCCGAGCTCCCACCCACACTGCTTCAAAGCTTGATGAGGCTGTCTTCTTCGACTACCCATAGGCCCCAAAGCAGAATCCTCGAAGGTAATCCCAAAAAGGAACTACCATGGGGCCTATGGGTGGGTTCCCCAGTCGACCCTTAATGATAAGGGCAAGGCTATCCTTTTCCTACGATTCGACTTGAATAACGGAACCCCAAACAAACAGGGCAAAAAGGGTACTACTGGGGAACCTAGTAGCCAAGCCGTGACTGTGAAACATGGCGGCATGGTGAGGCTCAGAACCCTCGTCTTTGGGGCTCGTAGCTCACAGCAGCGAGGGCTTAGGGTTTGGGGTTCAGAAGGGGTTTAGGGTTTATACAAGGGTTTGGCGTCCTCACCGGACCAGGGCATAATTACTGCAAGCGGAACAGAAGTAAGTGAATGGCTTGAGGACGAAGAACATCCCGCATATTCTCGTATCCTAAATATGGAACCTGCTCTCTCGCACACGGGCTGTGCGCAAGCAAACTATGTGTACTTGCACAAGCATCCATCCATCCATCGATCCATCCATGCAGCCATCCATCCATCAGTGATGCGTACGTATGTACATACACACGTGCATACGTGCACGGATACATACACTAAGCGAGACTTGAATAGAAAGTTAGTTGGACCGTCGGACAGACACAAGGATGCACAGATAGGTAGTTTTACAGGAGTTGGGTGACCGTCTATAATATGCTGAAGCCTGAGCTGAGCCTGAAACCATGCCTTCCACACAAAAGCAGGTCTCTCTTCAAGAGACAATGGCGAGATCTCAACGAGATCGTCGGATCGAATGTAGTGATTCAAAAGTATCAGAATGAAAAATCGTATGACGCAGCCTATGCATTTTCATCATGCTCCATGGCCCTCACCCGGCGACGCGCCAGGTGACCTGAACCGAGGTGGCAGAACCGTGGGGGTTATGATTTGGGATTTTTCGGCTGAAGAAGTCCGGGTTGGCGACGACACCTTAGGATTCTACATAAGATCCCCAAAAAGAACTACAATGGGACCTATGGGTAGACGGTAGACTCTACTCCCCTTCAGAAAATCAGCACAAATCACCAAAGATGGCTCCTACACAAAAAACTTGCAAAAGACCACTAATCAACACAGAACCACGAAGCCACAATGTCGGGTCTGATTAAGTAATAATCGTGTTGCCTTGTAGTCCCTAAATCATGGCATCAGAAAGCATTGCACCAGAATATACCCACAAAACCCCAGTCGAATTAGACTCCTGCATAGAAGCATTATTCAACCCTTTAAATTAGCCCTGTAAAGGAACCCTCAAATTAGGCCCAGCTCCAACCACTAAGGCTCTTGTAGTATGGGAATGAAGCCCAGTCAAACGAGGTGACAGCTCCCAGTGCCGCCTGGTCTGAGAAGGCAAACAGCCCATGGCAGCTCTTTGGTGGTTCGGGGTTAATGTTTTGAGGTTCAAAGGGCAAAAAAGCTGAAAGTTTTTAGTGATATTTAAGGATCGGGAATTTACCAACTCAACTGAACGGCCTGCTCCGAACACAGAGACGAGAACTTGAGTCTGAAACAAAACTGTGGCCAGGTCACGTGATGACTTCCTTGGCTGTGGGAGTTAGGGGTTTGAGTCGGGTTTATGGCTTAGGGTTTAGGATGTAGGGTTTAGGTTTCAGGGGTTAGGCTTTACATAGTTGGGGCTTTCCTGAGGGGGTACTGTATGGTGTCGGTCCTTGCTGGGGAGGATCCTGGCATCTCGGGCCCATCGGGGCCCTTAAGTATCTGAAACCCCCTTTTTGTGCTGAGGCAAAGATGGCCTGGTTTAGGGGTTAGGGCTTTAGTGGTTTAGGGTATAGCGGCTTAGGGTTTGGGGTTTCCCTAGCGGGACTTCCCTAGGAGCATCGGAAGTGCCTGTGCGGCCAAGGGTTACGGTTTGGATGCGTTTAGGTTTAGGTTTAGGGCCTGTCTGCCACATAATTCTGTTGCGGTAGATCGCAGAACCATAGTAATAACCATCATGTCCTGGCACAGATTATAAGAGATGTGCTCCGGTCTCCGGATCTGGCCGGTGGAGGAATCACCAACAGACGCGATCTAGTGGCCGTAATGGCTGGCACAAGGCTTTGGGTGCGGTATACCATAATCAGTTGTGCAAAGATTATCAGGCTATAAGGAAATACTTCACTACATATTCCGACCGTCCTAGCCGTCCTTGACTTCCTGGCAAAGGCTCTTGCAAGAACTTCTGGCGCTGCAGCATCTCCTGGCATCAAAGGTGCTGAGATCTATTGGGGGGGGGGTAGAGGGAGGGGGTAGGGGGCCTTAATCCCTATAATAAGGACTTAGTAAGGCCTATGGAAGGAAGTATAACCCTACCCCCCTCCCCCTACCCCCCTAAGGGTCCCTATGATCCTACCTGGCCCAATTCCGATAGCGTAGCCTCAAAGCCCCTCAAGGCCCCTGCAACCCCACCCTGCTCCCTTAAAGTAAGAGCCAGAAAGTTGGAATATGATTATCCTAAACCCTTTATGGTAAATTATAAGGTATCCTACCCTGAAACCATATTCCAACTTTCTGGAGTTCCCTTTAAAGGTAACATCGCCTTGTCTCTCCTTCTGAAGACTTATGAGTCTTGCCGTGGTCGCTACCTTTCGCAAGCCAAACTTCAAATATCCTCTCAACTGTGGACCACAAAGAGTCCTCATTTGCTGCCCTTGTGCCACAAGGACCCTCTTCTTCGGGGCCCTTACTTGCCGAAACTCCCAAGTCCAAAATGCCATGGGCCTTGACTCCGTAGGCCAACGTGGTGGTGTCCGTGTCTTTCTCGTGTGTCCGAGACCAGTTATTGCTGGTCATCTGTAGATACCATCCTTCGCGTTTAGTCGTTGGGCTTTGGGCATGTGGTGCGGGGTCTAGGCCTCAAGCTTTCGTTGTTTTGCTTTCAGGACCTAGGGTTGGGGATTTGAGGTATATACGGTTAAGGATAGTAACCACGGAGACCGCGCATACACAAGGCACGATGTTTGTTGGTGCTGATGCTCTGACGGAGTGATGATGGCGATCGCGATAATACAGCCGGTCGCTCCAGAGTAGCACTATATAGGAATAGAGCACCACAGATGGTGTGCAGAATCAGGTCCTCATTGCACAGACTACCAGCACAGCAACTTCGAGTAGATGCCACGGCTTGCTTTGTGTTCTGCCGAAAGGGCCGAAACACTCGTCCAGGAAGAACTTGCACAGGCTTACAAAGCACAACAGGCTCATCTCCTCTTGTGGTAGAAGCAAGACGACCTGATCATAAGCTAGTGCCACGAATAAACTATACGCCCCGATAAACTACTCAAGAACCAGGGAATAAGCTTATGACCACCGACTCTCAAAGCGATGTAAAGTTATGTTGCTGACAATGCTGCATGGCAGCTGGGCTCTTTCAGCCCTGGCATGAGAATCGCACCAATGCCGTCAATGCGGTGGTTGCTCCAGTTTTCGCTGCAAGACACGATGGCGGTTCTGATCGCAGTCGCGATGCCGATCATAATCACAACATATGACACGTGATGAGCAAGCTTGCCACTTACACTTTCAGAAAAGCCCAATGCCAGAACAAATGAAGCCTGTGGTTCCCGAAGGTTGACGCGAAATTATGAGCAATAGGCATTAGTAAAACTCTTTCTGCACGGCTTTGATGTCGGATCTGATTGCAGAGAGTGGGAAACAGTTGTTGGCTACATCATTCCTGGCAGTCCCCCTTGACAGATTCGATCATATAGGCCCCCACCCTCCCCCGGCGCAAACTTACATTAACACCAATCACGGTCGAAGGCAAGCAAAGGATTCATGTTGGCCAGGTCCTTCAAGAGTCTGGTCGTCTCAATCTGCCGGACCCTAACTGAAGGTTTTCCCTCTGCATATCTATCTATCTATATATACACATACATATATATATATATATGTGTATATCAGGCCGCCTGCCACTTTATTAATGAAGTCCTTATATGACCTGAAGACCCACTACCTTAAACCTTCAGTTCATACAGTAAACCTTCACCGCAGACCTTAAACCCTAAATCCTTTACCGTAAAAGTCAACCCTGACCAAAACTGTTTTCTGCTGAGGCCCTGGCTTCGAGAATCTTCCACGGAGAGTTTGCTGCGGCTTATGCAGGTAGAGAAGATGAACCTGCAGAAACCAAAGCAAGCTCGAAGATTAGAGTTTTGAGCTTCGCGAGTTCCGGTTTAGGGCTTATGGCTTAAGACTAAGTTCCAGGGGCTTAGGGTTTGGGAAGGGGCTGGTGGGACCTGTAGGGCTTCGCATTTTGCATTCTGTCTCTTGGGGTGGACTCAACGTTGATGGGGTGCTGCTCCCCGCGAAGAAGAAAACCTTGCGAGTTCAACCCCAGTCCACGCGCTTGTCAGAGCCGCACCAGAACTCATGCACAATCATAGCCATCCCAAGTGCCGATTGCAACGAACCGAGTACACGAAGAAATATCTTGAAGCGGGCTTGAATGAACGGCCCCGGTTGACAGCAACAATCAAAGCTCCAAGACTATACCATATGAATGAACCGTCGGGGCAGTTTTCTGAATAACGGCCAATTTCCGGGCCTGCCAGTCGAGGGTAACCAGCAGCCACCAAAGAGAAAAGCCCATAGCTGAACCAGTATGCCACAGTATATAACAAACATCTAACAAGTAATACTCGCACGACTTCTTACACATGAAACAAGACTACTTGAGAAGACTGAACATTTACACTAATGGGCCTACTAATGGGTGGCTGTCAAAATTATGGTCCCTTTTTGGGTCCTTAATATAATACGGCACATCTTAATATTTAGGATACCCAAAAGGGTACCACAATTTTGACAACTACCCAAATAAGAGCAGAACTAGCCTGTTCTGCACGACTGAGATGAACTCGGCAAAGTCGGAGAGGTCCACGCTAATCATTTTGACCTCTTCACACATGTGCCGAGATTGGTACTTTCCTTGGGTACTTCGTAGCGGTTACATGAACGAAACCTCAAAACGCATCGCCTAGCCCTATTCGCTGGTAGCAGCCGGGCTCAGGGTGTAAAGTTCAACATCCCTCCCCCTATTACACTATAAAAGCCGTAGTACAGCTATAGTATAGCGTATAATACACTGTTAGAACCTATTCTACTATACTGCACTCTACCAAACTGTATTTCCTCCACTTCCCTCCCTTGCACATCCTTATCCAGACACTCTTTGCGCGACGGGCTACGGGAATGATTTTAGGTCTTTTAGGGCCTGTAAGGGGTCCTTTAAGCAATCCTTTCAGGGTTCCTCTGTAGGATCTCTTGAACGTGTCCTGTAAGGGCTAGTGAATACACCTCCTACCGTCCAAGAGCCGCTTAGAGCGCCCAGAGTTCCCCCCTGAACCCTAAGTTCAAGATCTAAGGATCTCGGCTTTAGGCCTTCGTAGTAAACCCCAAAACCAGACCTACGAGTAACCTAGGAATAGAGAGGGCTCCCTTTTTGGCTTCAAGGGGGTTATAAGGGATCCCCAACAAAATAAAAAAAGGGACCAAGGGCCTACTCTGGGTCTTAGAAAAAGTTTGAAACCGGATTAAGGACAAGTAGTGCTACGGTTGATGATATAAATCCTGCATGACCCATAACAAGAAATATACCATAAATCCCATATATTCCCTATTATGGGTAATGCAGGATTTATATCATCAACCGTAGGATTCCCTATGCATACATGACTCCGCAGTAATCCCGATTCTGGAGCTTCTACTCTAGCGCTACCCATAGGCCCCATAGTAGTCCCTTTCTTGGGTTCATATGTAGAATCCAGTAAGGCACTCCCTGAAAGGAACTATGGGGCCTATGGGCACACTGATCCGGTCGACATCCTAACGTTTTCGCACGGCATGCAGACATTGAATAGTAGAGCCTAGAGTAGGCCCTTATTCCCTTTTTGGGGGTTCTGGTTCCTATATAGTAAATCCCAGACAGTTGGAACATCGATTTAGGGTGAGTTGTGCTAGATTTCCATTTTAATTCAGTCTGGGAGTTACTAGGATACCGATGTTCCAACTTTCTGCAGTTTACTGCAAGGTAATGGCGCCTACGGGTTCCCTCGACGTCGAACCGGTCAGAAGCCGATGGGGGGCCTCCGGCTGGCCCAGGAGAAGCTTCGCACTCGCTTGGTGCAAGTGCTCGACGAGGTGGACCATCACCTGTTGCTAAGGGTTTAGGGTTTAGGAGTTTAGGGTTTAGGGTTTAGGGATCTAGGGTTTAGGGTTGATAGGGGTTTAGGGGTTAGGGTTTAAGGGTCGAGTGTTTAGGGCTGTGAGAGTTCAGGGCTTAGGCTGAGGGTTCAGGGGTGTGGGGTTCAGGGTAAACCGGCTTTGCAGATCGGCTTGCACGGGCCGCAGCCGGTGCAAGTGCCAAAGGATCCTCCGTATCTTGAACTAGTCCTGAACACTGGCTAGCATCAGGCTCACGCCAGTGCTTCTGCTAACAAACACCTGAACCCAAAACCTCAAGCAGCAAAATCCAGACCCTGAAACCCCCAAACCACTGGATGTTCTGAAAGCTAACAAGGCAGGAGGCTCGATTAAAGTTGCTGCTGGCTACAGTGAGATCCACTTCATAACATTTCATATGGTGGGACGTCGACTGCGCAGAGTATTCTCTTCCGAATGCGAGGTTCAAAGTCTGCTTGTCATTTGTCATCCTCACGCAATGCTCTCTCGCGATGTGTTGAACAGTGGCCTGAAAATTCATGTGCATATATATATATATATGCATATGTAGAGAGAGAGAGAGAGAGAGAAAAACAAAGAGAGAGAGAGAGAAAGAGAGCAGGACTTTGGGGTAAAGGGTAAAACAATTACAACAGGAGCCGTGTAGGGGTATCATACTAGCAAGTGTTTAGGCTTCTGTGTTACATGCCTCCCTAAGGGGCACTGCTGCAGGACCCAGGTCTACCTTAAGCTTGCGCCCAGAAAGAAGGCAAGAACCCCGGTGCCCTATCCCCAAAAACGCTTAAGCCTGAACAACCCAGGCTCGACAACCCCTCGTGAATCCGCAACACGCAGGAATACTTTATAATGTACGTAATCTACTAAGGTCTTCTATAGTGACTATATACAATATACTATACTATAATACGATATACTGCATTATACCACCGTTTACGAAATACACTCGCATATACTTCAGCTACTTTTCTTTCAGCCCCTGCCTCAAGAAGAAGGTGGAGCCCGACGTTGCGGTTGTCTTTGGCCTTGCCCACACAATCGGGCAGGAACTCGCACAGAAAAGCCTCAAGCCAAGGAAGCTTAACGATTTTTTGAAGGCGGCCAATCGTGGCTAATGGGAGCTTCCGATGTCCATAAGGGGTTTTGTGGCTTCGTTCTTGGCGGGCTTTGAAGGTTCAGACTTAGGCCGAGAGTTGAGGTTTCCAGAGAAAGGGCCATGCGTTGAGGGTTAGGTTTGGCTACTTGGAAGTTCGCACCAACGATTTTTTCGGAAATTGGGTGTGTTTTCAATTCGTTCCTGGCTTGTCTCCGATGGAAGTCCTGCTGCTCCGTCGGCCTGGCTTTGCATGAACATGCTGCCGAACCCTGATCAGACATCCCCTGAACTACAGGCCCAAGGACCTGCACAACAGTTATCAGCCTACAAAGGCCATGGAGGCATGCGCTCTAAAGCATTGACTTGACCCCGAAGTTTCAATTTACCCCCAAACCCAGGCCTACCTTCGGCTTTTAGGTATCAAGTGTTTAAGCTGAGAACCCCGAAGGCTGGAGATTTCCTGAGGAGACTAGAAAGATCCAGGCTCTCCTACAGGGCGTCGACATAATGTAGGGGCCTGAACACTCACTAAGGATATTCCTGAGGGCTCCTCACTATGAGTATAGATCAATATACTTACCGCCAAAACACTTAGCTACACTCGGCTTCCGGTTTTCAGGAATTGCAAACACATATCCCTAACCCTAAACCAAAGTAGGGTGTTGCATCTCCATGCTAAAAGACCGATCCTGCGTTTGTACCCCAGCCAATCAAAGGCGATGCCCAGATTTGCAGTACCGGTGGAGCCTTCTACTGCGCCGGGACTTCCCGTCTGGACTGCATATGGGAGTTTCCGAAAATAGGGGACCCCAATATGGTACCCAAAATAGTAGGATCCTTGGTATAAGGACCCTAAAATAAGGTACCCCTGATTTTCGCAAACTCCCATATGAGGTTTCGAGACCGTCTTCGCTCAACCTAACCCTGGCTCCTCTCAGAAGGTATACAACAGCAACACAACATTATAAGTGGAGATCCCTTATAATGGAGAAATAACGGAAGGGACCAGTTTGAACAACAGCGCAAATAAAATGTCAAAAACATGCCCAAGCGACGCAGAGCTCAACCCCGAGTCCCTTCATGCGTCAGAACCTGAAAGCTCTGCGCTCCGACATTCCAAAACCCTGCAAGCCGCCAAGCGACCCTCTAAGCCCCAAACTCTAGCCGCAGCCGCTGTACCCTACCCCTAAACCCTAAACCCTATAAACCCTAAGTCCTAAACCCTATACCCTAAAGCCTAAACCCTGTAACCCCTAGACTCCTGCTGTAAAGCCCTGAGAAGTGAGTCGCAGGCTTGCGACTCGATCCCATCCGCCAGAAAATGGCGCACCTCTTGCGTGCAGGAGCAGCGCCGAGGATACGAGGGAGGCTCAAGGTTTGTTTTTGTGGTTTAGGATACAGGGCTTAGGGTTTAGGTGCCCTTGGGGTTTAGGGCTTAAAGGGGCTTAGGGTTTAGGGGTCTTGGGGGGTTTAGGGGGCCTTGGGGTTTAGGGGGCCTTGGGGTTTAGGGGGCCTTGGGGTTTAGGGTTTAGGGCGCTTAGGGCTTCGGGTTCAGGGTTTAGGATACAGGGGCAGGCCTAGGGTTTAGGGGGCTTACAGTAGGGTTTTAGGTGCATGATTACCTGAATAATGGGTTACTAGGGGGAAATGTAATGTGTGGTTCGTAACCTACCTTTAAAGTAACTGGAGCTCTAGGGTTAGGGTTTAGGGTGTAAGGTTACCTGCATGCTCACAACGACGTTTAGTCGTGCTTGTCTTGCACTTGCAGACGCTGTTGTTTGGGGCTTCGGGTCTCGAATGGCTGGTGCCGTGCATAGATAGCTTATGAATCATGAAGCAAACGGGTTCCTAAAACGGCCCTATTATGCAAGGATATGACATACTAAACTGTACAGTAAGATTCCTAGTCTCTACTATATAATACTAGACAACCAAACTCTAAACCATAAACCCCTGAAGTTCGCATCTAAGACCCCTCCTGATGCCCAACCAACATTCCAAACACGACACCTAAGCTTGACGCCATGAAATCTGGATGCTGCATCCTCTTGAACCGAAACCCAGAAACCTGAAACCTAGCCAGAGCTCGGCACGCCGAAGCCATGTCCAGTCCAGCACCCGACGGCCGAAACATCTTAAAGCATACACCCTGAACCAACAAAGGCCGAAAGCCTAAACCCTGAAACCCAAACGGGGTGAAGCCTGACCCTATAAGGGCTCAAACCCCACAGCCTCCCGAAATCCCAGATGTCCTGAACCAAAAATCTGAATAAGCCAATCACGACCGCAACCGATAAATGTATCCAACAAACCGAACCGTTCAAAAAGACTCTTTAGGGCTTAGCGTTTAGGGGTTTAAGGGTTTAGGGGTTAAGCCATGATCCTGGTAAGGTGCCTCTGTTTACTATATGGAATCCTGGTACCTACTGTATATTATGGTGGGCTAGTGTTCCGCAAACCCTACATAAACCCTATCATAGTACCCACCATCGCCCAAGGTTAAGAGGAAGCCAGAAAGCTGGAACATCATGATCCCCATGCCCTTAAGTAGGCCCTTTCGTCAAAGAGAACCCCAGCACCAATCACTCCTTAACTTATATTCAACTTCCTGGTCTTCACCGTACTAAAACCTTGCAGCAGCCCTTATAGTAACTATTATAGACCCTTCAAAAGGGACCCCATTCTAATAATAATGGCCTTCTACTACAGGCTAGACGCTTGGAAGGCTTCCCGGAAATCTCAGATTGGCCAAGCCACGAGTAGCTGCCTCTCCCTCAAGCCCAGGAGCATCCAGCTGGATTTCAGAGACTGATACCCGGCCAGATCCTGCAGTTTTCTGGACCTAATGTAGGAAGCTGATTAAGAAACCTTTTTTTTGGCTTCGATATATGAATCTTAGTACTATTTTTTTTTGGGGGGGGGTATGAGCACAGGGTCTCTTAATCCGGTTCCTACATTATAAGACTTAAGATCTTTCCTGCCGGGCCTAATGGGCCAAAAGGCCCAAGACTCAAGATCTGTTCAGGGCTGAAAGGATACATTAGCATAGGAAATAAACGCGGGTCAGAGCTCAGTGGGTCCAAAGGCTGAGGCCCTTGTGTGGCAGCTTAGTGAAAGCAGTCTTAAACAAGGATGGAGTCTGTGCTTCTGTAAACGAAGTGGCTGCATTTGGAGACTATTTTGCATTGCTGAGCTTTAGCCTGTTTCCACCTGGGGCGCTTAAACTCGCGACAAAATGAGCCGCTTTGAGCATGGCAGCAGGGGCACAGTTTGTAGCACCAGCATTGTAGAACTCGTGCATGCTGCTTACGCGCAAGTAGGCTTATCATCCGTCACCGAATCATGCTCTGCCGTTGTATCAAAACGACAAAGCCTGCTTCCGCTGCTGCTACCTTTGGCGTGCGAAAGAGAAGGCTGCCTGAAGAATCAGACAACAGTTCATGGGGGTCCGGCGTTCTATGCAAACATGTGACGGATTGTGAAGGTGTAGGTTTGGCTTTTCTGGTTGGGCGTTTAGGTTTAAGAATCGGAGGCCTCACAAGGTGGGATGAAGGTAGGTGGGATTAAGGATCCCTTATATAAGGACTCGTATTTGGGAATATCCCACCTACCTTCATCCTACCTTTTGAGGCCCCCGAAAGAAATCCTCGGAATATGACTTTATTCCTGCGTATTCGTGCGATGGGTATTGGCAAGGCCTGTACTCGCGCCAGGCAGCCCAACCGAACGAGCGCGAAGTCCTGCAGGCAAGACTGGGCTGTGGTTATTAAGGAACTTGTTTGTTGTTGGGGTCTTTTGGGTTTAGGGTTTGGGGAAGTTACCATAATAGTGGACATTAATCTTTCTTTCGTTTAAGTTGATGACCATGATTGGGATGTGCGGTGAGTCTTGCATAGGGCTACCTAATTCTAACGGAAAGGGCACAAAATCAAGACTCCGAGAAACTGAAGGGCCGCCTTTGATGCTTCAGACTTCTGGGTTCTGGGGTTTGGGTAGGGTTTAGGGTTTAACGAACTAGGGGTTTACAGTGGGGTTTACAGGGTTCGGGCTACACAAATGGATTAAATGAACTGCGGCAATGGCACTGCTCAAATTAGGAGTACATAGACCTTGACCCAGCCGTCGAAATGCAAGGATCAACAAATGTAAAGTGCCGAACCCGCACAAACAAACTTCGCAGCAGCGAGCTCTGCTCGAGAGGTTGATGTGCTTTGAGGTTGAGCTTCGACGTCCCCTCGAAACTCTGTAAAGGCATGCCGAGAAAAAAAACAGTTCTAGATATAGGATGATATACCCAAAGGCCCCAAAGTAGTTCCTTTTGGGGGTGCATATATAGAATCCTAGAAGGTACTCCCAAAAAGGAACTACTTTGGGGCCTCTGGGTACGGACATAAAGCTGAGACGTCCTCTGGGGTGTTCCGTGGGAGCATCAGCTGACGAGCACGGAGATCAATGAAACCTCATGGACTAAACCGATGCACCCCAAACTTGGCCCAAAATTCTAAATATTCCTAAATCCTAAATCCTAAACCCCGATCTCTTCGGTTTGGGGGTTGAAGGTTTTTTCTTGAGGGATCGAGGACTTTAGAGGTTCACGGTTCGGGCTTTGTTTTGAGGTGTTGTCGGGCTTTGTGAGCTGAGGGGGCTTTGCGGAGGTTTCGGGTCCACAGTTTCAGGTTACAGGAGTTCCTGCCTTAAGGTTATAGAGCTTTTAAGTTTTGGATTTTGGGCGTAGGCGGTCGGGTTTTAGGGTTTGCAGCTTCAATATTGAGGTGCTTCGGGGTTCGGGGCTTTACAGGCTTCAGGGCTTCAGGGTTTACGCTCTGTGTGTTTGGGCTTGGGGTTTCACCGAAACCCTCAACCCTCAATTTGAAGCAGTATGAACTTTGTCGGGATTTCTTTTTCACCCTCTCACTGGGTTCCAGCTTGGAGTTTACAAGACTCCTTCGAGGCTTGATGGAGCCGGGGGGCAGTGCAGTCGGGGGACAAGTCGCAAAAGCCCTAAACCCGTAAAGCAAAACCTGATTAAAGCAACCTGAAATCCGAAGGCCCTGTTCAATCAATAAATCTGGCCCTCAGCTCAGAAACGAAACCTGCAAAAGCCCCAAACTCGACACAAGCATCTTGAAGAGAATCACAGAACCTGCTGAGAACTAACCAAGCCCTAAAGTGCCGACCGCTACAAAAGGCCCTAAACCCTAGAGGCCCCCAGCTCTGTATAAATCCTGGTGGCCACCAAACCTATACACACCTTGAAAGCGCTAGCAGTGTATGACTATGATCGAACCCTATGATCCGAAAGCCCTGAAGCCCTAATTCCTAAGACTACAAATCCTAAAACCCTAAAGCCCTACACGTTAAATGCATGAAGCCCGACAGTCCCCAATTCCTAAATCCTGCAACACCATAAACCTGAACCCGAAGCCCGTGGTGGGGACCCATGAATCTCAGGTCTGAACTCCAATATATGGCTTGCGGACTGCCTGGGCGGATAACCAGGCCGGAGATTCCAGCATAATGGGATCTGTGTTTCTTGGCATAATAGGATCTGATAGGATGTGCTTTCTCAGGACCGATAGGGGTTTAGGGCTTATAGGGTTGCTGTTTTATTCGGGCTCTTCTTCCACTAGAGAAGAGCAAAGGGTTTAGGGCCTAGGAGATGGGAGTGCTCTGAATCACAGGCGTCCATAAAAACAAGAGAAGAACCGAAGGCGAAGTTGACCAAAACATCACAATAAGGATGGAGTCGTTCAGAGTCCCATAACACGAGGCTGGAAGAAGACCAGACCCGCGACACCAAACCCCCCACGCCTCGCCATGACTTCGGGGTCTTCATGGAGCAGAGAGTTTGATACGGGTCAGGTTTTGACGGCCTTCATATACACGGGCCTGCATAACTAATGATTTGGTGCGTGTAGTTTTACAAACTCAGTAGGAACCTGATTAAGAAACCTTGGGCCTTTATCGGGGTTCTTTATATGAATCCTACTAGATTGGGGGTTATAGGGCCAAGGCTTCTTAATCAGGTTCCTACATTAGCATTCCTGACTATACCGGACCCTCAAAGACTAAGACGTGAGCCTTAGAGGGGCTGAGTGGGCCCCATAGTAGTTCCTTTCTGGGGTTCATACGTAGAATCCTATAAGGTAATCCCAAACAGGAACTTCTATGAGGCCTATGGGTAGTGCCTAAAGTTTACGTTTGATAAGGTTTTAGTTTGCAGTAAGGGAACATGACGGCATGGGGGATTCAAGACGGAGGTTTTCTGTCCGAATATGTGAAACTTAAGCTGATTACAGGGATCCGAACTTGCGACCCTTCGCCGAAATCCGACAAGCGTGTGAAGTGAAAAGCCGGGACAACCCAAAGACGGCATGGATTAACCTATGGCACCATGATTTGGACGTCGAACTGGATAAGCCTTCAGTTTCACAGAGAATTTGCCAGGTTGCTGTCGAGGACGTGGCGCAATGTCCGTATACCCACAATCACCGATGCCGCGTTTCTGGAGTTCATGAACCTGAAAGTCAAGGAAACGAGCACATGTGTACACCCTAGACACCAAACCAGATGAGATCTCTGCGCAGAAGGGGCGAGAAAGATGTACGTGATACCACGTTTACCACTGCACTGCAAGTATTCTCACAAGCATACATAAACTGTTCGTGAAGACCTCTTGGGCTTAAGGGTTGTTGGACTTCAGAATTCTGGATTGAGGGCACGACTGATCTGATACCGATAGAAGTGTGAAGGATAGTAGTGTGATAATGGACTCAGACTGCTCGTGATGGTCTGATAGATGTGACGCTCGTTTTACGGAAAGCATAAACACAAGTGGCGTTTGGGAGATAGGGCTTATGGTGTGTCGGTTGTCAGGGTTCAAGGTTCGGGGGTCTGGGGGTATACGTTAAGAGCTAGGGCGTTCAGTGCATTGAGGGTTCACATCTTTGGGCCGATGGTTCGCGTTCTTCCGACGCCATGTCGGGGCCCACCCTATTATGGTACTCTTGAAGGAACCTCATGTTGGTACCCTTAAACGAACCCTTAAAGGTTTAGGGCTTAGGAAATTATCGAGAACAACCGGAAAACGAAGCTGCGGATTTTACGTGCACAGGGAGAGCCCCATAGGCGCTACAGTCCCTAGGGCAGTTACTACAGAGGCCTTTTTGATGGCAGTAAGATTCAGGGTATCTTTTGCTACGTGTAAATATCCAAACGAGCGCTAAGCAACGGTCTTACCGACCCAAAAACCCTGAACCTCTACTCTTGGGGGTTTGAAGCTTGGGGGTTTTCGGGTTCAGGATGGTTTAGGGTATAGAGTATATGTATATAAGCCTATAGTTTTAAATTACAAGTTTCCCCAAACCCTATAGGGTTCAAAGTTTGGGGCGTTTTGAGAGATCATTTGCCGAGCCTGGAGCCATTGCCTCCAGCAAGGCCACTCATAAACCCGAGCAAAAAGAGGATGTAGAACCTGCGTCAAACATGTGTGCTTTTGTTGTCGCTTTTGCCAGGTCAGCCCCAAACCTCTAGGGTGTAAGGTTTAAGGCATGTATAAGGTATCTCAATCTCAAGTCCCAAGCCTTCCTGGGCGATTGCCAGGCAATTGTAGGAATTGCTCCTGTTTTTTTGTTGAGAACTGATTTCGTGTGCTTTCTGGATCACTGTTTGGTTGTTCTTTGCGTGGTTCAGCGCCTTTTGGTGCATCTGCTTGGGCCTACATGGAGTTTCTTGTCTTGGTTGACTGTTCAGAGGGAACACAAGCAAGGGTTGAACCACAACCACAACACTTACAACACCAACCAACATCACCACCAACAACAGCAGCAACAGCGACAGCAAAATAACAGCATCAGCAGCAGCAACATTAACAGCAACTGCAACCACAACAGCAGCAAACACAAAAACCAAGCAGAACCGCAACCATAAGCACAACAAGCACAACCATGGAAATCACAACAACCACAAAACAACACAACAACGACAACGACAGCTACAGCGACAACGACGACTGCACCAGAATGACAAGAATGATAGTATTGAGCTGCAGTGATCGTCACATGCCGCTGTTGCCATCATAAGTGTCTATATGGAAGACAACAATCGAAGGGTCAGCTTTCCTAACAAAAGACTGTGCGTCAAGGCCAGGCAGCCGGAAGATCTTGATGCCCAGCTTCTGAACCAGTTCCTCTACAGGGCACGGGGGATTGTAGAGTTGAGGTGTGGGTGTAGGGTTTACTTCCTCAACAAGGCTTGAGGATCTTAAACCCGAAGTTCCTACACCCACCTGGATGATCTGTTGACTTAGCAAGCAGCGATAGATGGGTTATGAGGTTCACTGGAGAAATAGACTTGCCAAATCAGCACAAACCCTCCTGCGCACGCCCGTTCCCACCATCCCCCTGACAGGCCTTAAGCTGCTGGACGCTCGCAGGTACATTTTCTCCCTGAAGCATCTGCGCGAGATTGAAGTCCTGTGCTTTGGATGTTGACGCATGTCTTATATAACGGCTTTAATTGCCTATACTTACTTTTGCGGTTCCTTTTCTAAACAAGCATAGTGGGCCCCCAAACCGTATTGTAATCATTAAGGCCTCTATAGTACAGGACGTTGGTGGTGCAAGGCTACAGGGTGGGTAAAGTGGGGCCGAGCCCTCAAACACGAACTCCAATTGCACCGGGAGGACTTTCTAGGGTTTGGGGGGCGACTAAAACTCAGCATATTAAGGAACCCTAGTACTCTTACTTAGAGCCTAAATCTCAGCACGTTAAGGAACCCTTCAAGGAGTACTCCTACTTGGAGCTTTCTCGGAAAGATTTTGACAAAGGTGAACTGCAGAGGCATGTGCCGATAGCACTATTTCTCTGTGTCCCTGACCGGTGCACACCGACTTCTCCCAGCAAACTATGGAACTCGCTAGGATGAGATACGCGCAGCTGCAAGCCACTCTGGGGTTTGTACCGCTCAGGATATCAGAAACCTTGAAGTGCCCGACTGAACCACTTTGCAGACATGAAACCTCCGGTGCGCTTGAAGGAAGGACTGAAGGTCGGTCGGTTCAGGGCGCATGTTTACAAGTGATTTTGCAGCGGACTGCAGGGACATGCAGGAGCTTAGGGCCCGGAGCAAACTCAGGAGTTTGATCCGTCGTCCTTGTGCACTTCCAGCGCATCTGCCATAAGCTCAACCTCATCATCTCCCATGCCTTCGCTGCTTCAGTGTCACTGTGACCACTGCAGTGGGGACTATGTTATCACTGCCGTCGATATTGAGGGTGGTCGTGCTCATGGTGTCGCTGTTGACGTGGTACTTGTTCATGATGGACCGTGCTGCTGATGATGCTGCTGTTGGTCGGAATGGTGATGACCTGCGAAGGTCGCAGCCATCCGTCTTCAGCTGTTGTTCTCCTTACGAGTACTCCTGATTTTTCGAACGGCATACTGTAGCTGACTGTAGTTGAGCTGCAGCTGCTACTGTAGTTACTAACCAGACAACCAGATTGCAGCAATGACCGCTGGCACCAGTATCATGCTCGGCATGACATACGATAGCATCATTGGAGTTGCAGATGCTGCTGTTGTAGAAAATACGCGAACACCACCTAGATCTGATACTACCACAAGTGCGACGAAGACGATGATGACGACAACCATCACGACGACTAGTCCTGACCCTGTGCAGCTTCTTCCGCCGCTACTGCTACTGTACTGCTGCACTGCTGCTACTGCTGCTGGTACTAACACCAGCTATACCTACTACCCGCCATCTTCCACTTCGGCCCCCTACTACTGTTACTACTACTACTACTACTACTACTACTACTACTACTACTACTACTCCTACCACTACCACTACCACTACCACTACCACTACTACTGCTACTTCTACTACTACTACTACTACTACTACTACTACTACTACTACTACTACTACTACTACTACTACTACTACTACTACTACTACTACTACTACTACTACTATTACTACTACTACTACTACTACTACTACTACTACTACTACTACTACGACTACTACTACTACTACTACTACTACTACTACTACTACTACTACTACTACTACTACTACTACTACTACGACTACTACTACTACTACTACTACTACTACTACTACTACTACTACTACTACTACTACTACTACTACTACTACTATATATATACTACTACTACTACTACTACTACTACTACTACTACTACTACTACTACTACTACTACTACTACTACTACTACTGCTACTGCTACTACTACTACTACTACTACTACTACTACTACTACTACTACTACTACTACTACTACCAGTCCTAGTCCGAGTCCGAGTCCTAGTCCTACTGCCACTGCTGCTGCTGCTGCTGCTGCACTGCTGCAGCTGCCACCACTAGTCACCGATCCGACTTCTTCTAGCCACGACCGAAAGCACTACCCCAACGACTACGACAACACGACAACCACGATTGTGGCGACACGGTTTAGGGTTTAGGGTAGTACCGGTGCTGCTGCTACTGCTGGTGGTTCTGAACTAGTGCTACAAATTGTCAGGCCGCTCCTGCTGCTGGCATCGATGAGGTTGGGCATGGTGGAGATGATAGAAAGGATGGCCAGTCTCCGATGACTGTGCTGACGGCGGATCTCGTCATGATGATGATGATGATGATAATGATGCCGATGACGACGACAATGATGATGCTTATCACGGCCACGGAATTCCGAAGTTGCAGATGAAGACTATGCGGGTGATGATCATGGTGAAGTCCACGACTGTGGCGTCGTTGCGCGTTGCTTTTGTGATGCAGATGCTGTTGCTGACGGAGACACAGAAGCCGATGACATGATGATGACGATGATGCTGATAACAGCCTCATGGTGGTGATGGTGATGATAACGATGCTCTTGCGTAGGTGCGCATTCGGAGTGCACGGGACTTGAAGGACCGACTGGGACACCATACCGACAACAAACCAATGTCTTCCCAAAAGGGTCCTAAGTACCTATATGGTAGATGTAGGGTTTCTATATGAGGAAGCATTATTGTGACTTGGGGAAGTATCTCCCATAACAGTACCTACGGTTGATGATATAAATCCTGCATTACCCGTACTAAGGAATATACCATAATTCCCATATATTCCTTATTATGGGTAGTGCAGGATTTATATCATCAACCGTAGGACCCTTTGGGTTCTTAAGAGCCGAGGATGCTGGTCACGGAAGGCACCACGTTGGCATAGTTCCTGGCCATCGGAAGGCGACATGCCGGCGGCTTTAGCATTGAAGTGCGAGGTTGAGAGGGGGTAAAGAATAGAAATCACATGGTGTATGTTTTAGGGTCGGGTTGCTGCATCGCATAGCGAGGAATCTATCAAGCTGTTTCTACGAAGAGCCTGAGAAGGGACAACTTTTGGCGAGTGTCAGTGAACACTTGAGAAACCACACAACAGAAGCCAGGAGCAGTTCTCACCTGCGACTTGTTTTGTGTTAGCGGGGTGTGCTTTTTGCTCAGGGTTTTCGCCTGATTCGGAGAGCTTCTCAGCGGTTTTGAAGGCTTCAGTGTAGGAAATGGACGTTTTAGGATTTTGGTATGGAGAGACTTAAGGCAGTTGGGGGTCAGGAAGGGGTACTCTTCACCTTCAGGCCACGTGCGAGTTTGCACCACCGAGCTAGCCTAATATACCATTACCAAACCATACGACACACCGTACGTACATATAGTTTCGCACACTGTGCACCAGTATGAACGTGCTTGATTGCTTGACTGCTTCATTGCAATACCTGCAACTCTTTAAGCTCAACTGAATATCGGGCATGTTGGTGAAATCATTCGTTCATTAACTCATTCATTAATTCATGCATTCATTCGTTATTGCGGTCAGTCGTTCATTCATACTGATATATACATATGTATATATACATATACATACATACATACATACATACATATATATATATATATATATGTATGTATACATATATATATATATAATCTATACTGCGTCACCTAATCCTTTGCAGTATCTGCACTGCAGAAGTCGCCAGAATCTGCAGCACCGGCCTGATGAGGTAGATCAGAGCCTGCAGCAGAAAGATTCAAGGTGACCTGTAGTCTTTTTTGGGATTACCTTATAGGACTCTTAATATATAATTGGCTAGACCAAAAAAAGGAACTACAATGGAGACTATAGGGAGGGCTTGTTGGTGTACGTAGTTCAACTTTCACCATGTGGAAGGCTTCCGAAAATTAGGGGTACCTTATTTGGGGTTCCTTGTAATGCGAATCCTATACATTTAGGCGACTAGTTCAACTTTCACCATCTGGGAGTTTCCGAAATTTAGGGGGTACCTTATTTGGGGGTCCTTATAGTAAGAATCCTACATTGAGGCTGCTATATTAGGGTCCCCTATTCTCGGAAACCCCGCATTTATCGGGCTCAGGGCTTCGGGTCCCTAGATTGTCTGTCTCAATAACATTAATAGTAGTTAGATTGCGTTCTCATAAAGTATGCTCTTTAAGTCTTGTTTGAAGTGTATACCATGAAGACGACTTCGCAGTACTTGCCCGCAATGCTATAAACACGGAAAGACCTGTTGTCCCCATCGTCCTTTTCCACCTTATGTCAGCAAGCTTCCATATAGGTGCTTCACCTTCCCTTACACCCCAGTCAACCCGAAGCTGTCTGGTAACCCTTCGAGTAATTACTCCTCGGAGTTTTCTTCGAGGAGCCCTTTTGGTATCCTTGACCATAACCCGAATCTAGTCGCCCCGGATCACCACCATGGCAACTCTAGTCTGCTGCAACGGAGCCCAACGTGCAAAGAAAACACTGCGGTGCGGGAGGCGGGCAAGAGCGGCGCGACGAAAAGCCGCAAACGCTAGGGTCTAAGATTCAAGGTCTGGGGTAATTAGGTTTAGAATAAACGCTCCGAGGTAGGGACACTGCGATTGCTACCAGAAGTAGTCTGTTTTTCCTAGACGCAAAACGGGACCAGGCGCCCTTTTTCCCTCCTTCGTAAGCGCCCTAGAAAAGCCATACGCAATTGTTAGTAGTCCCTCCCAAGAGGACTATATAAGCCCTACGTCGGCCACCGGACTCGGCAAATTCACGAGCTGTCGGCGAAACCAAGCTTTCCGCCCACAGAACCCTGTCTTTTGTGGTTTATATGGCTTGCCCACCACGCCCTACACCCTAACCTAAACCCCAAACCCTATACCCTAAACCCTAAACGGCCCTAAACCCTAAACCTGTACACTCTCTGCGCTCCAAAGCGTTCAGTCTCGCTTCTGGCCTCCTCTGGTCGGTGTGCCTGATGCGGCAGCTGCTGCACAATACCTCGGAAAGCGCCAAAACAAGGCAATATCTGAGCTATGTAGACTTGCCTTCCGAATTGGTTCACTCAAGCCTGCTTGCTTACGTGCCTAGTTTCTGACTTATGTACTTGCTCGTCTGCCACCTTCTGCTAACTTGCTGACTTTTATTGCTTGTGGGCTCAGACGCAGACCTGCGTACCACCTTACTTACGTGCCTGCGTACCTGCGCACTTACATACCATGTCCTTACTGAACTGCTTACTCACCGTCTCTGAATGTGGACTCCTGGTGATTAAACCCCCTCTTCCCTAGATCCCCTCCCGAAGCCCTCATGGAGGAGCAGGTTTATTGCTCAGGGGTAGGGGTCTGAACTCTTCATTTCGTCAAGGACTTCTGGAGCTTTCTGTGGTTTTCGATACATCGCAGTCCGGATATGCCTACATCTAGGGCTATTGCCGTTGAGCGGCCCTTTTGCAACAGCATGCTATAGACGTGAGCCACGGCGCCGTCATATTGCATTGTTAGGATGACAGCAGGAAGCACGCCGAAGTTCGAGCTGAACCCGGATTCCTAAACTGTAAGTCTGAAACCTCAGGCCTAAGATGTTCAACCCTGGGGTTCCAACTGGCCCTCCTCAAACCTGAGACAGAGAGCCCTTTCTTAAATAGAGTCGGTGTATAATTAGGCATCGGTGTACTGTACTATAACAACATCAGGAGTAAAATGGCATGCCATCCTTACCTATGCATTCAAGCCTCCACTATGGAAGCCTCAATAAGTACCAATATTCTTCCTCAGCGTTCCGTGACATAAGCTTGTACAAAACTCCCCAAAACCCTATTCGAATCATCAGGGCCACTGTATTGTAATATTGACTCCCAAAGCACCGCCGAGTCTCGCTTGCATTTGCCAAGGGATCGGATCGCCAGAAGCACCAGAGCTGGGCGCACTGCCGACTCCTGGCAGCCCGTGTTATACATGCTCAGCCCTGAAACCTAGACCCAAAACCAGAACCGCCACCAACTGCCAGGGTTTCGGATTTTTCCTCGACGATGCAGTGTTTGGGGGACAGGCAAGGCTTCAGTAGTAATCATCCGAGCTGCTGCCTTGAATCGAAAGACTTCGAACTCGAGAACTCGCATTCACCGAAGCCTCAACATTATAGGGATTCTGCTCCTGAACACAGACCCGAAATCCTCAATCCAGCAGTTTAAAGCATTCATATATCCTTTCAGATTTCATTTCTGAAGACTTGGCCTGCGCCGGGACACCCTTTAAGCGCAAGCCTGCCTGTTTCCTGCTGGAATAAACAGGTACGCACTTCCCAAGGTGAGCTGAAGGACTTAGCAACTGTGGCACCATATGGGAGTTTCCGAACATTAGGGGTACCTTATTTTGGGGTCCATACAATACTACTATATCAGGGTCCCCTATTTTCAGAAACTCCCATCATATAGCCCGGAAGGTCATTATGCTAAACCTAAGTTGGTGAGGGCCAAGCCCCAAAGCCTAAGCCCAAAACCAAACCTCCCAACTCCAAACCCTGTGCCCCGATCTCCAAAAGCCAAACCCTGACAGACGCAAAACCTCTTCGTTTTTCGCCAACGCTACCCTAAACCCTAAATCCTAAACCCTAAATCCTAAACCCTGAACCCTAAACCCTAAACCCTGAATCCTAAACCCTAAATCCTAAATCCTAAACCCTAAACCCTAAACCAAGTCCCCCGGCCGACGGCTTGGTCCATGCAATGAGCTCTTGCAGCTCCTCGCAGTTGGATGGGGAATTGAGGGTCTACCTTAACCCACCAGAACCTACCTTTTTGTAGGGTCCCTATAGATTCCATATTAGGGGCTAAAAAAAAAAAACACAAAAATGTAGGGTTTGGTAGGTTAAGGTAGGGTTTACGATCTAGGGAGGCGCAGAAGTTCGGCAGCGCCCCTGTCCCTGGCCCTAATATAGGGCCTGAATACAAACCTATAGTCTTTTGAAGGTGTATAATGGGCCCCCAAACCCTATTCTAATTATCAAGGCCCCTATATATATTGCCCGACCCCAGCCCCACAGCCAGCTGGAGGACGTGAACATTTGTTGTTGCGGGCCCAGGGCTCTAGAACATCGGGTGCTGGCCCTACAGACAGGCGGCATTGCTGAAAAGAGTATGCGACAAATCACACAAGTTCAACAAGCGCCCAACCCTAACAAGCCAAAAGCGCAAGCCCAAATGCAAACCGGTTGAGTCCTAAACCCCCAGCCCAATGCCCTGCACCCCAAACTCCGCAGCCCAAGCCATGGATCCCCTTTTACATCGCATTTGCTCACTGCCGGCTCTGGGTTGCTAAGCATATATACCAACGGCGCCTTAGGACAGGGTTTCCTGTAACGGGTTCCTTGAGAGGGTTCCAGTAAAGGGTTCTATGAGGCTTGCATAAGGGTCCTGTGCGCTGGAAGAGCCGGACCAGCTGCTTCTTTAGGTCGATATATTGGGGTATTGCCTACATGCATGCATACATACATACATCTATATATCCATATTTATATCTACATATATGCGTATGTATGTATGTATGTATGTATGTACGTATGTATGTATGTATATATATATATACACATACATACATGTATACAGATCGATTGACAGATAGATCGATATATGTGTGTGTGTGTGCATACACATATAGTGGTGAACCACCGAACAAACACGGGGTTCAGGAGTTTGGGGTTTCCGGGGTTGGGTTTGGGGATGCCCCCCGATCGTTCTCCCAGCTCTCAACAACATCAGTGCAGGCTGTTTTGGCCTTGTTCTCAAAATCGTCTCCCCAGAAGAACTTCTTCCAAGAGTTCGAACTACAGGGGGTGTGCTGCAACACTAGGGCTAATGGGACTGGTCCTGATAATGCTTCCCAAACGGAAAGCCTGATTTTCACTCAAAACCCCCAGAAGACACCCTAAACCGTAAACTCAAAAGATAGCCTAAAGCCCCCACTACACCCTGAACTCAGAAGATACCCTCAACCTTACACCCAGACGACACCCCATCTGCGAGGTCCTGCCACTGAGCCTCTGCAAGGCGAACCTAGCATCAAGATAATAAGGACGTTGTTTGTTATAAACTCCTTTTCCAAAGCGAAGGAAGTTGAGGGTTCAGGGCCTACAGTTTAGGGTTTAGGATTTGCAGCTTAACGTCAGGGCTTAGGGTGTACAGTTTCGGGTTTAGGGTGAAGACAATAGTAAAGGCAAAGGATGGCAAACCCTACCCTAGTCATAGCCCTCCGAGGATCTAAACACCAGGAAATGGAGGCTGCCGTTCCCCATAAGGATTATTGAGCAATCGGTTTAGGGTTTAAGGTGTAGAGATTTTGCGGCTTAGGGTATTGGGTTCAGGGAGATGGGATTCATCAGCGGTAAACAGTTTCCGGATGTACACCATAACCCTATCCCGATTAATGCGACAACTGTCTCCCCTCTGGGCCCGGTAGCTGTTTGGGGGTCCTCAATGTACAATAAGGATCCTAGCACTGTTGGTAGTGAATTCGGTCTATGCTGGGGCTTCCTGAATTTCTGAAACCTCGGTTGGATGAGCCATTGCCTCTGCCTCTTTAGGGCCATCGTGTAGTAGCAACTACAATACAACGGATACAGCGGGCCATAAAGAGTGGCGTTAGAAACTCTTCATGAATAACTGCCACTGCAACTGTAACACTGTAAGCACAACGACATCCCGCCCACTCTTTGGCTGCTACTGCTGCTGAGGATTGAAACTGATATAACTGATTGCACTGCTGTGATTCCCTGGGTCTGCACCTGTAGGTATTTGTGAACTTGCCTCATTCAGCATTCTTTTCCGTAGCAGCCGTGGTTTGGCTGTAGCTTCATGCCTTATTACTAGTCGTCATGCAGCTGATGCTGGTCCGGCGCCCTGACTACCGCCGTTAAACTTGCAGCTGCTGATCATGCGGTTTACAGGGTTTTTCTGGAGGGCTTGGAGGCTTGCGGGTCACACTTTGGGAGTGAAGCGCTTGCACAGAGCGACAGTGCTAGGCAGACCTCACCTTACCACTACCCTCAGGACTTGGACCGAAAGGCCTCCGACAACATAGAAGAAAGGTGCAGTAGGCCATGTCATATAAGACTCGGTAACAGCCACACCCCGAACAACAACCGAATGATTCAACCGGCTGTTGCAGAAACAGCTTCACAACCTAGTTCATGACTAACCTGGTGCTTCTTGAAACTCTCGCTGTGCGCGTACGATTCCGCGCGAGCAAACTGAAACTTGATCCCGTAAACCCATAAACCCCTAAACCTCTAAACCCCTAACCCCCTGAAACCCTAAAAACTAAGCCCTAAGCTCCGAACCCTTAATCCAACCTTTAGGAAGCAGACCCCAAGAGCCGCCTCCGATCTCAAAGATATTATTGACGTTGTTACCGTCACTACCCATAGGCCCCATAGTAGTTCCTTTTGGGGGCTCATACGTAGAATCCCATAAGGTAATCCCACAAAGGAACTACTATGGGGCCATGGGTATTGCTAAATCTATTGTACTTATGACGACTGTTGACTATTCGTCAGTATTCTGGTTATCCCCATGCCCCCGGAATCAGCGTCGTCGCCTTCTCCCCCTGTGGCTGCGTGTAGTCCTGCCAGCCGTGCTTCAATACCACAAAAGTAGGCTGTCACGCCCGCCCCGGAATACTTCCTTGGGGGTGTAGTATCCCATATAATTACCCTTGCAATACACTTGCAACAGTAGCTTGTTGAACCGAGGAGCGTCTCTAAGAGTCTTGGGATCAGGAATGAGGGTTCAGGAATCTAGTCTAAAGGCTAAACTCCACACTGACCTGCAACCGGACCCGAGTTTCGTGATGAACCTGATTCTGGTGATGAGGGTTATTACTTAAGTTGTAGTATCAAAGTATTGTATGAGTATTGGTAGTTGTTATTATTCTTAAAGTTATCACAGTAGTAGCATTCTATTCGAAGGGGTATAAAGTATGTATAGTATGTATTGGTATGAGTGGTATAAGTATCGCGTTTTCGCTCTGATGATGCACTGCAATTCGTAGTCGTATCATAGAATTGGGTTTTTGTAGTACGGGTATCAACTCACCAGCACCAGACAAATTATTCAACACTGGCAAGCCAACCCTAAACTCTAAACCCCTAAACCCTAAACCCCAAACCCCTAAACCCCTAAACCCCTAACCCTAAACCCTAAACCCCTAAACCCCTAAACCCTAAACCCTAGCTGACCTGGTAGGAGCCAAGGAGAAGCGCCATCAAACTCACACAGCAGCTCTCGGACTTCTCCCGCTCAGCATTCTGCAAAGTCGACGGGTTTTCGGCTTCGGCTTTGGCTGGAAGCGGGGAGTGAGTTTACTATACTGAACTTAGAAAACATTTGAATTTTAGCTGTTTCTTAGGGATTATAATAACAAAAAATTACAATTTTTTCTAAGTGCCCCTAAGTTTAGGGTTGATGGATTGGGGTTCGTGCACGGGGGTGTAGGGACTTTGTTGATTCGAGTTAGGACGAGGGTCTCTGCCGGGCAACAGCGGGTCATGACAATAACACAGCACTCAACAACCCTCCATACGCATGGGGGGACAATCAGCACCCTCGGAAAGAAAACAAAAGCATACCAATGGGTCCAACGGTTGATGATATAAATCCTGCATTACCCATAAGAAGGACTATACCCTAGTTCCCATCGTTTAGTACCTGTCTCGGATGTGCAAATCGCAGGAATACTTGAAGCAAGGCAGCGCATGGCAGTAAGGCAAAAGCCAGAAAGTTGGAATATGATTATCCTAAACCCTTCTATGGTAAATTATAGGGTATCCTACCCTGGAACCATATTCCAACTGTTTGGAGTTCCCTTTAAGGTTCTGCTGGGACTCACGGCCCGGCAAAAACTGGCTTATCGAGGAACTGCCCATAGTCCTTTTTGGGGTTCATATATAGAATCTTATAAGATACTCCTAAAAAGGAACTACTTTGGGGCCTCTGGGTGGGCTGAAGCTAACGAAATAGGGATCGATAGGGTATGAAGTTATCATAAAATACGGAAACCATAATATATACTATATAGACCACCGTTCTGTTAACCTAACCTAATTCCGCACTATGAAACCGGGCAATGATCACGCTAACCTAGGTTTAAGCATACTCGCTACCAATGCATCGTATGCCGTGCACTAATGTATTCCTTTCAATAAGTTCGCAAGGAAGTGCGTGCATAACAGATTGGCTCTATACACCAGACAAAGCTATGAAAGTGTGGCCTTCAACCATACTGTCTGTCTTTGTCTCGGCATATCTGCATATGCATACATCTCGACCCTTACCAAACGCAAATCACCTGCGAGCCTGCTCGAACTGGGCATAGGTGCCATTTTGCGGTGAGAGCTCGGGAATGCATGCCTGGAAATTCGAACTACCGAATATTTGAGATTTAGGAAACTACCGAGAAGGAGCAATATGGGGGCCTTCCGTGTATGTGATACTTTATCTTGCACTTTAGGGGAGACTCTCCTGGTTCATCCCCCCACAGTATATATAGATATGTATACATATAATATGGTGATTATAGTGTATTAAACTCAAGATCCCTTGGAATACAAGGCGGCTCCCTTCGCGACGCTCTAGCTACATGTCGAACATCCAAAGCGAAGTCCATTTCCTGCCCCGGATGTGCTCAGCTTTGAAGCTATCTCGCCAACCTTCTACTATCCTGAACCCTAAACCTGAATCAGACCTTAAACCCAGCACGCCTAAACCCTAAACCTAGTACTTGCATGATTTAGCTGGAAACTGGAAGCCGCGACTATGAACGACAGCATCCCCTAAATACTACCCCTCGGCGTTTCTGTCAAATCATGCGTGAGAGAAGTTTTCGACATAGACAGAAAGGGTACATGGGAACAGTAGGACGAACTCACTCTGGTGTGGAACGATATGAATGAAGAATCGAATCTGTGTGAGCCTCTACTGTCACCAACGTTTCTGTCGGGAGCTCCCGTTAAACAGCAACCTGCAAATTGTTAACCAATAAGTAAAACAAGCAACGAGCACCCTAAAAGCCGGGAAGAAATCGTCTTGAGAACACACAAGCCCCTTTTCAAACCCAAAACCTCATTCTGAGAGCCCAGCGCGCAACGAGGACACAGCCTCCTCCATGCTGACCTGCTCGCAACATTCTAGGAAGACAGGTCCAAAGCAAAGGCTCGAATCGAGTGCGTTAGCTGCGGGTGTCTACACCCTAAGCCCGAATGTACAGGAAGGAGCCCATGCAAAGGATGCATAGGGTTTCCATCGGGTACATAGAGGGTTGGGGTTTAGGGTCTCAGATCGGGCGAAGCAGGCCCAACAAACAAACTTTAAGCCTCAAGCCCCATGCCCGAGCGAAACACCCTGAACCCCAAACGCTACCCCTAAACCGGACCTGCTTGGAAACGAGCTGTCCGGCCAACTCGCTAAGAATCTTCCCGTTTAAGATGGAGGACGAACGCTTGATGCCTTGGATTCGAGTTTAGGGTTCAGGTGTAGCTAGGTTGGCCCTGTAAAGCCTCTGAAAGAGATTCGTAAATAGGGTCCTATTGAGCCCAATAAGGGGAAAATAGAAAATGTCCCAAAGGCCTACCTAGTTAGGGGGTTGCGAGGCGTTCCGATTGAAGCCGTTTGTGATGCCGACATCAGCTCGTTCAGGGTTTAAGAGGCTTCTTGCGTTGCTTGGTGTTGTTGAGGGTGGGTTTAGGGTTCAGGGTTTAGGGGTCTTAGCAAGAGTTCAGTCTCGCAGGTTCAAGGCGAGGGCGAGGGGGTTCAAAGAGGCGTTGCGAGGATGTTACCACATTGGGTCGATGACGGTTCTATAAAGCTTACCACACACAACCCACCTCCAAAACGCAACTTGCTTCTGGGACATCCCACGGTCCTCTCTGTCTCTGGCCTCAAGCCACTCGCCTAAAACCTAAACCGTAAAGCCCCAGCCCCAAATCGTCCCTCACTCCTCTCTTGCATCAGATCTCTTTGCCAGCATGCTTTTGACATGTCAGGGATTCGTACAACGAAAAATTGGAACAGGGACTTGCGACGGTACAATTGTGGAGGAACTATTTGGGCCATCTTACTCCTGTTTCCTCAGACCCCGACCTTTGCTGGCCTGAAAACTCCCGTCCTCTGAGCTAGGAACCCTACATGGTTCAGGGCTTAGAGTTTGGGGTCTAGGGTTCAGGGTGAAAGGTTCACGGGTGTGGGGGTTTGGGGCCTAGGAGAGGCTTGAGGTTGAACACCAGTAAACTCCTCGACATGCCGGCTATAGTGTAGTCTTTGTGAGATTTCGCCCTAACCCTAGCCTCTACATCCTACACCAAACCCGTAAGCGCCCAACCCCCCCCCCTCCAAAAAAAAAAAAGAAAACAAAACTCTTTTCCCATCTCGGAAGTTAGCATGTGTTGTTGTGGGATTCGGCACGGCACCCGACGGCTGACGACTCCTGCTCTGACCTTTAGGTTCTGGCCCTCCAAATGTTTAGTAGGATTTGTTTGTATGGGGTATAGGGATTAGGGTTCGAGTGTATAGGGTCCTGAGTGTATAGGGTTTAGGGGTTTTGGGTTCGAAGGGTTTCGAGGTCTACGCGTTTAGGGTCATGCATGAGGAGTATACGGGCGCATTGTCGCTAAGTATGGTCACCTCAACATTACATAAAGGATCATGGGACTTAGTAACTAGGGTTATAATTAGGGTAACTATACTTATAACCCCAATTAAGGTACTTATAACCTTACTTACTAAGTCCCATGATCCTCCAAGTAGAGTTCAAGGTATCTTGGCTTCGGCCTTTCGGCTCAAGGCAGATGTGTTAAAGGGAACTCCAGAAAGTTGGAATATGGATTAATGGAAGGATCCCCTATAATTTACCTTAAAGGGGTTACGATAACGATATTCCAACTTTCTGGCTTCTACTTTGGGGGGTGAACTGAGGGTCGGGTACGGATTGAGCTCTCATGGTTAGCATCATTTACCGCACTCGGTCGGGTGCCCCTGCAGGGTGAACGGTTGCCACGCAGCCAAGAGGCAGTTCTTATCATTCAGGTTTTCCGTTGCAGCCTCCTCGACCACAACGGCCTGGCCAGCATCTGATTCGTGGTGGCGTAGAAAATCGACTGCCAGGGTTTAGACTTTATAGGGTATCGGTATAGGGTTTCTAGGGTCAGTTCACGCCGAAAACAAGTCTGGTGCTTCTCCGGATCCCTGTATGCAGGAACACCATTTCAGCATCTGCACAGCCCAGGTTGATCTGATATTCGGGTGGAACTCTACAATGGCAGAAGCACCAAAGGATACCAAAGGGATCCCCAAATCCCGTAAAGGACTTAACATCTCAGTCTCTTTTAACCCAATCTCGGCACCGTGGGACGTAGTCCCTCAAAGTCTTGGAGAACCCTCCCTGCGCACAACAGCCGTGAAAGGAATATCGGTAACATAAGTACGAACGAACTTACGCCTTCTGTTGAAAACATGGCTTGGCATTCTGCGGTACGAAGTCTGTATCATGCTACCTTCCTTTTTGGGGATACATTATAGGATCCTAAATATGAACCCCAAAAAGGAACTACTATGGGGCCTATGGGTAGAGCGCTTAAGCGCAAGAAGGCCGAGAGCACCGCAGGCTCCGCTGTCGCTGCCTTGCCGGTCCGTCGAAGCATCCTCGCAGCCACTTCTTTTCCGTTTTCCGTTGTCTGCATACGCGTGTTGCTTCTTTGGGCCCTAGCTAAGATTTTTAGGACGTGGTCAGTACCCTTAACGGCCCTAATCTGTAGGTTTGGGATTCGGGTTGCGGGCATTTTGGCTCTTCCATGGCTTTAAGGTCTTAGGCTTTACAGGGCTCGTGGGGGAGATCCGGGCCGCTTCAATAAGGTCCGGTTTTGGGGTTCCTTAAAGGGATCTATACGGTTTCTACGAAATCAGGGTCCCTGTTTAGGCCCCAAAATAATCCTTATTTAAAGAACTAGCAAGAAAGGAGCCTTGATGATGAGAATAGGGTTGTTGGTAAATCAGCATACTTGCACAAGGACTTTTGCTAGATCCTCTTACTCATTCTTCAGGGGCCTATAGAACTTACGATTAGGGTTTGGGAGTTGTGGGTTTTCCGTCTTGGCCGCGGGATCTGATCTTCTCTCCCCAAGAGCTTGATCAACCGAAGGGTAGCGAGCATTCCGAGGATGAGGAACTGCTGACGATCCTGACTCGCCTGAACCCAGATCCATTAAAGCTATATCCGGGGGCTTCGACACGCCCTGAGAACCAAGGATCTAAAGAACACCCCTCAAAAAGGTAGTCTGGCTCCCGTTGTTCCACTTACCCCAAGCCCTCCCAAGGCGGTCCTTCGTGCTACTTCGTTCTTGACGTTGCCGAAGACCGATTCCTCTCTCGTCGAGTCCTCCTTCTGGTACTCGCTAGCCGGGTGATCCTTCGAACAGCTGTTGTGTTCAACTCCTTTTCTTCGAGTTTGGACAGGGTTTGGGGTTTGCGGCTTTAAGGTGCAGGCGGGGTTCAGGGTAGAATTCTGGGATTCAGCATGTTTGCTGGGCGAATTTACCTTTTGAAACCATACATCCAATATGTCCCAACCCTACATCCGACACCCCAAGCTAAACCTCAAACCCTACATCCTACAACATGAGCCCTACACCGTAAACCCCAAACCCTCTAAATCGGAAACCCTAGCCTGGAAGAGATCGAAGTCATCCAAGGCAGTTCTTGGATCCGGATGGAAGGCCTGGTAGAAGGAATTCCTGGGCGGAAGGACCCCCTGAAAGGTCGACAACCTTACCTTTGGTTAGTAGGGAATGGAGGAATGGAGCACAATTATAACTACTATTACTACCATTCTTCCATTCCCTACTAACCAAAGGTAAGCAAGCAATGCTTATCATGGGTCTCCTAACATCTAAGGCTCTCACAGAAATGGGGGCTAATTGATCAGAGAGAGGGTCGACTCGAATGGTTTAGAGAGTTTCGAGTTTGAGCTTAAGTACGTGTCAGGGGTGCGTAGAGGCTTAACTAGGGTTCAAGAGGCCAGGGTTTAAGTAGGCTCTGGGGCGGGCGGAAAGGGTAAATATTGGGCACAAGACCTCAACTCGGCAACTTCCTAGATCGTACAAAACAGAGCTCGGACAGCTACTGCTAAGGCCACAAGGTCGCTGGACAAGATGGGCGTGGAACAAACATGGTCTCTCCTGCACTCAGCTAGGAGTCGATTTCAACAGTCCCCAAATTATATAACATATCCTTTGTCCATGTATATATATATATAGATATACATATGTATATCTATAAATGTATATCTATATATGTATATATGTATATAGGTATACACTTAACTTATGTAAGTCTCTCCATGAAACAATAAGGGGAATACAAGTTATCCCAAATCGATACCTAGCAAGCAAGCATGATGACACTGCATGATGACCGCGCCGTCGTGCCAAACCCCAGAAACAGTGGAGGTCGATCGCTGGATGTCAGTCCAGCCAAGTTTCTGCTTGAGGCACTGGTGAGAGATGGCCTGGCCCGAAAAACGGCTTAGAGGGTCCAAGAAAGTTTAAAACTATTTTGAATGTGCGATAGCCCCTTTCTCCACAGCAGTAGAGCTAGGAAAGAGAGGTCAGCTTAGACTTAGGCAGTGGCAAACAAACCCTAACTACTCTCTGTCTGCCTTTGCAGTCGTCTCACGAGGAGAACCAACTCTAGTTTCGGGAAAGCTTGAGACCAGCTCACCCGTCTCCGCATTGCACTCTGAATTCAAGAGCTGAAGCTCAATCCAAAACAACCTCTGTAGAACCCAACCCTAACCAAGCCCTAAGCCGGATGCCTCTGCAACTTTGTATGCGCAGTTCGTCTCTCCGGAAGTTCTTTTCGACTGGCTTAGCTTGGCGAGGAGGTCCTCGCAACGCAGGAGCTGAGAGGGCGCTACACTAAGAAGATAGTCAGTGACATTATAAGCAGGATACCTCCCGTTATGGTATCTTTTAGGTAGCTTACAACATCCAGCTCTACTTGATTTCCTGCTTCCCTGTATTAATTGTGTTTATGCTTGACGCGATTCGTGCAATTTTTACGGTGTGTTTTGAGCCTTGGGGTTTAGGCTTACAACGAAGGAGAATTTCGTCCCGAACAGCACATACTGCCGTGAAACAAGCGGTGTACCTGTAGGCACCATTGTACTTTATTTTTGTCGCTTAAGCCGTTTGGGAATAAGTGAATATTTCAGATCCTATAGGGGGGACTCTAAAACAGGGAGACCTTACGATAAAGCTTCTCTAGCATCTAGAATACTATAACATAACAGCATATATTGTTATAGAACAGTGTATGATGAAATGCTTTTTTATAATACTGATGAAATATATTTTCACACCATATAACGTAATACAATTCATATGGTAGAATATGAGTTAGTATCATATTTGATGATAACATATGTGACATAGCTTGACATAAAATAATCTGATATGATAAGAGTTAGAATACAACACAATGTGATAAAGTATAGACTAGTGTAACAGAGTATAGCATAACATTTTAAATGACATATACGACGAACTTGAACACAATCTGTTTTACAGCTGCTTATTCTCTTAGTACTTTATACAGTATGAAATAATACAACTCAAGTTTTTTAAGATGGCGTATATATATATATATACATGAATATTACCGAATCGGACAGAGCTCAGGACATTGTATCAGGGTAGGTGTGGGGTTTAGGGGTTCAACTAGGGGCCATGGAGGGCTGAAAGGTTGGGGACTTAGTGGCTGCAGGCGTGTAGTGCTGCTCAAGGGTTAGGCTTCGAGGTTTGAGAGGTGCGTGATTAGATTTCTGTACCGAAAAGGCGGTTTCAGGGCATATCATGCTATAACCGCAACTGACTACAATAGTACGTGTAAGCTTAAAGCAACTGTGCTACGAAGTCCTCAGGCTGCATATTCGAACCCACGCAGGAAGCAGGGAGCCGCACCTTCCCGTACTCACAAACCATTGCAGTGCAGGCCGGAGAGTTCCTTCGAAAGCATTCGCGCCAAGGATTGCACGACTTGCTTCGGGAGTGCACAGCATTAGTGGGTTTGGGGAAGTGTTGAAAAGCTAAACCCCCAAGTCAGAGAAACCCAACACGACAAAATCTGGAGGACGCATGGAGACACAACTGCATGTTCCCGTTGATGTTGCAGCCCTCGGAATACTCAAGTCCCTCATGCTTTGCAGTGACCATGGGTAAACTCCAGTCCCTGACAGCCCAACATCAACCCAAAACTGCAAGGCCCTTAAAGCCAAACCTGTAAAGCCAATGGTAAGTATCCATATTCCGAAGGGGTAAGTATTGAGAACCAACAAGCACAGCATCGAAACTGACAAGAGGCAGCCTGAGTTGTAACAGCAAGCCGTATCCGCCCGAAAAAGAGAACCGCGCAGCACTTCAGTGAGAGACAGAAAGCTCCCTGACCAATATACACCGGACCTAACCCCCAAACCCTAAACCCTTTTCACAAGTGAAGCTATTCTGGCCGGAGCTCATCAGCGTACGGACAAGCGCTGCCCCCTTGAGGCTGAACGCTTCGCCAAAGGTCTCCGCCCTCTGCACAGGCTGCAGCGTTCTTATGAAGGTCTGACTGACAAAGGGTTCTGACCAGAGTTTAGGGGGGTGTTCTATTCCGTCGCAGGCCCTCGAATGTATAGGGTCAGTGGCCTGCACGACTCAGGGCACATAGCCTAGCTTATGCTTGATGTCGAGAAATGAGGGACCCAAGAGGGACCCTGCAGATGCGGAGAATCTGGGAGGCTCACGGCTTGTGGAACGTGGCCAGACAGATTGCTAGAACCAAACTTATCGGAGCAACCGTCGTAGAACAAATAACATCGGCAGAAGATGATGACGATGATGGTGCTGCTGCTGATGATGATTCGGATGATCCCTCTGATCACCATCATCATCGTTGCTGTGATAAGGTTCATGGTCATTTAGAATCATCGCCGATGACAGCGCCAAGGTCAAATCATACTCATCGACAACCACGATTTCATTCACTCATTCATCCATTAATTCATCCATTCTTCCATTCATCCATTCCATTCCGCCTTCGGCCCCCAGTCCATTCCGTTCCGCTCCATTCCCTCATCATCAGTCACAAACATCCTTGCCATGATCACCTACCTTCTTCTTCTTCTTCACCAGCAGATGATTCTTCTGCTTCAGTTTGCTTAGGAAGGAGGAGATTTAAGGGATCCTAGTACTGCGGCTAGCACGTCCCGACAATGCAGGTGTGCAGCGTCATGTTAATATATATAGGGGCCTAAATAAATGCCTGTCTATTTTGGGGGGGCTCCTTATTATAATGATGGTAAAATACACACCCAAAAACCTTTTCTAATTCTTAAGGCCCCCATATTAGGCCTTGGGAGCTTCGGGATTGAAGAGGCGAGTCTGCGAGATGTGCAAGCAACGGCAGCTCGCCAGCATCAAAGGTGTACAGGTTCAACAGGCAGAGATCCGGAGTGTGAAAATACAAGGGCAGGTAACTACCCATGGGCTTCATAGTAGTTCCTGCGTGGGATTACCGTATAGGAGTCTACATAGGATTCTACATATGAACCCCCAAAAGGAGCCACTTACGCCCCTACGGGTAGCCTCAGCATCATATGAAATAATGCAAGTTCACCGTCTCATCGACGCACTAGATCAAACCAGCCCAAAAGAATGAAGTAGGGTTTAGGGTTGGGGGTTTAGGGTTTAGGGGTTGGGGTTTAGGGTTTGGGGTTTAGGGTTTAGGAGGACGAGGTGCGGAGCTTTGAGGTATCGCGGGCCTGAGGGTGCTGTCGTGCGTGACGGCCTCCGCAAACAAGGCGGCCTCTGCAAACCACTCACCTGAACAGAACTGTTCCTACACATCATCATGATTATACTTGTAATTACTTCGCTTGTTATTACTGTTGCTATGCAGAGTTTTGTCAGAAATGACTGTGTACATGTTGCGAGTACTAGTTACTACTGGCAATCGTCGTCCGGGTCGTTGTCGTCGAACAAAGTAGTAATTAGCAGACGCACGGCCGCAAACAATGTTACTCAAGGGGCAGGCCGTTGAAGCTACGGAATTTGGGCGCGAGCCATCAGACGTTCTGCGAAGTGCGCCGGGCTTTTCGAGTTGTTGACACGTGGACGCAAAATTGGTGTCCGTGTGTCGGAGATACCCAGAGGCCCCAAAGTAGTTCCTTTCCGGGAGTACCTTATAGGATTCTGTATATGAACCCCAAAAAGGACTACTTTGGGGCCTTTGGGCAAGCCGCCAAGCAGATAGTACGGAGCACATTTGTCTGCTCCAGCAACCCAGAGACGCCATTCTGACACTTACACTTGCTGAGCGAGAGCATTCTCTTGGGAGGTACCCATAGGCCCTATAGTGGTTCCTTTTTGGGGTTCATCTGGTAATCCCAAAGAGGAACTACTATGGGGCCTATGGGTATTGGCTGAAACATATTGAGCCACTTTGCGGGTGCAGATTGGGGAGGCAGAAGTTGAAAAACAGTCAAAGCCGTTGGGCTGCACACTCCACACTTGGCTGCACTTGCACAGGCAGTAGGATGTAGCAGTCCAAGATAATCCACGACGTCTCCTCGCTGGAGCTTACCTCCATCCTGATTGAACTTCACCGTTCTATCACGGAGGATACTCATGACCCCTATCTTCGCGAACAGCAAGATGCGTAGGGCGGTAGCATGCGGTAGCGGTAGCGGTAGCACGAGGGCTGGCAGTAGCAGGAGCAGCAGCAGCAGCAGCAGCAGCAGGTGCGGGAGCAGGAGCAATGCCTCCTATTGAAATGTCAGCAGCAGGAGTAGTAGTAGTGGTAGTAGTAGTAGTAGTAGCAGTAGTAGCAGTTGTAGCACTAGTAGCAGTAGTAGTAGTAGTAGTAGTAGTAGTAGTAGTAGTAGTAGTAGTAGTAGTAGTAGTAGTAGTAGTAGTAGTAGTAGTAGTAGTAGTAGTAGTTAGTAGTTAGTAGTTAGTAGTAGTAGTAGTAGTAGTAGTAGTAGTAGTAGTAGTAGTAGTAGTAGTAGTAGTAGTAGTAGTAGTAGTAGTAGTAGTAGTAGTAGTAGTAGTAGTAGTAGTAGTAGTAGCAGTAGCAGTAGCAGTAGCAGTAGCAGTAGCAGTAGCAGTAGCAGTAGCAGTAGCAGTAGCGGTAGTAGTAGTGGCAGGAGTCGTCGTCGTAGTAGTAGCATTAGTTAGTAGTGGTAGTGGTAGTGGCAATTAGCGGTAGTGGTAGTGGTAGTGGTAGAAGTCGTTAGTCGTAGTAGCAGTAGTAGTAGCAGTAGTAGTAGTAGTAGTAGCAGCAGCAGCAGTAGTAGTAGTAGTGGTAGTAGTGATCGGCGCCGTAGTACTACGTAGTAGTAGCAGCCGCAGTAGCCGTAGCCGGAGCCGTAGCCGCAACAGCAGCGGCAGCAGCAGCTAGTGCATGTCTATGTCTATGACCTATGAGAACACGCATCAAGCCCTCAGAGAACCCCAAACCCAAATGTCTGCGTTAACTGGCCTATAGCGTACGTCTAAACGGGGCATCCTTGAACCTCTGGGCCGGTTCTATAAACCCCTACAGTGTTAAAGCTTGTCGACTCAGCCACCCTACATCCTGTGCTCAGACCTCAGCTCAACCCTGAAGCAAAACACTTGCCTGCAAGGATGACGTTCCAATCGAGACAGGTGCCATCTGCCCTGTGGCGAGAGGAGGTTCGGGTTATAGAAGGCTTCTCAAAGCTGGCTTGGGGTGGAGTCCCCTCGAAACCCCCGCGCTCAACCTTTACGATTCCCCACCCCAAAATCTTATTCCGAATTCCCAAACCGTTAAGCGTTAACAGCCTGAGCTCCCAAATCCTCACCTCAGAGCCCGTTGCAGATTGGATGATGTAGACCCTAACAAGGTTGTAGGGATAGGGTTTGGAGCTAAATCCCGCTGAAGCTGTTGTTCAAAGCCACTATACAAGACATCCCGTGGATGCTTTGCAGGCAAGCGTGGGCAAGGAGGGAGGCACTGGCAGATCCTAACCTGAAAGCCATAGAAACACCCTGAGGGCGCATGTGCCCAAATAGTACATAGTTTTGCGCAAACTACCTATACAGGGACTACTTTGAGGCCAAGGGTATATACCACATGAGTAGGTGGACCCTTAGGGGACCATAAATCTCTGTACTCCAAAACACCCTAAACAACCTACATCCATGATTCTTTAAAATTCACTCACGAGGGTCCTGGGCTCAGGGATTCAGGGCTTCATGCTTCCGCTTGCAGCCTTGTTTAGAACCATGCAAAGCAGGCACCATAAACAGAAATCGTGCATACATCCCCAACTCTGCATCCTACCGCCCCGAACCCTGAACCCTATGCCCAAAGCCGAACATCGAAACCCTGAAAGCCTTGAATCTTGAAACACGAAATGACGAGGCGCTAAAAGTCCAAAACCCAAGCAAACCTCAAACCTTAAACGCCGCAGGCGATCTCTCGAGACTGAAAGCTCAACTTCCATCAAAGCTGCGACAAAGATGGGCTCGCCACAGAGCCTTCTCTGTTGATGCAGCGTTGTGAGCTAAGTGTGTAGGTTCAGGGTTGGAATTGACGACTGCTTAGGGCTTAGGGCCTATGGGGATTACATTCTACATGGGCTTTGGATTGTCGACTTGGGTGGTGGGAACTGCCGGGCATGGGTTCGGAACTTGAGGGGCTTGGATCTACAAGGGCTCAGGGTTCGTAAGTGGCAGGGATTTAGGTGAGCTTGCTCTGGCACCGTCGTGATAACGTACAGTCTTTCGGTGAAGACCGAGCACGTATAAGTCACAGGCTGGCATCTGGAATTCGCTTCCAGCAGGTCTCTGCGTGGGAAAGAGAGAGGCTCTGCAAGACATGTGCTTTATACACTTGCAATCTGAAAGGACATCCGTTTTGCCTTGAGACGGGTTATAAGCCTTGCTGGACCCTACAACCTCATCATGAACATTCCAGAGAGAGAGCTTCAGCACCTTGGGTGTGTGTGTGTGTGTCTTTGGAAGATGCTCGCAAAGGAAACCACAATGCAAGACCAACAGCCTGAAAAAGGCACGCGAGAGCCGTGCAGAACAACTTGTGGTCCGGGTTTGGGGGGCTTTAAAGGGAACTCCAGAAAGTTGGAATATGGATTAATGGTAGGATCCTCTATCATTTACCTTAAAGGGGTTACGATAATGATATTCCAACTTTCTGGCTTCTACTGTAGGGTAACAGAGGAATATAGTGGGCGCACCTTGGGTCTAAGCCGCGTTTAACTGGGGTGATGTTCGGCCAATGATTAACTATGTAGAAGGTGTAAGGATTAGTGTAGCAAACTGCCTTAACAAATCTTTGCTCAAAGCCGTTGTAGGTAGATCCCGGTTTGAATCCGAATGCGGGAAGTAAGCGTTGAAAAACATTTGATGAGACTCGCTACACAAAGCTATATACGAGGACAACTCGGAAAACACAACGCAAGAAGCCGATGTAAATATACAGCATGCCGCAAAGTTCTACAGCGGTATCTGCTCATACACTGTGTATATCTATATACATACCCTAAATGTAAAGTTTACGGCTAAGGACCTTTAGCCTAAACCCCGAAACCCAAAACCCCTGAACCCCTAAACCCCTAAACACTGCGCCGCTGAACCCCTAAACCCCACGCCCACTAACCCCTAAAGACTATACCCTGACAACCCTCCCTCCCCTGGAGGATTGGGGACTACAGACCCTTATTAGGTCCCTATCCCAAGACCCTAGACCTAACCGTATCCCAAGGTGCCTGCATCTCTGATTTCATCGGTGACTTCGGCATGCAGGAACCTCCCAGTCGTCGTAATCCACATGTAATTCGCCTTAGGGCTTAGGGCTCAGAGTTTAGGGCTGAGGAGTTAGGGCTCAGGGTTTAGGGCCTAGGGTGTAGGGCTTAGCATCTGAGGCTCAGGGTGTAAGGCCAGTTTAGGGCCGCAAGATTGAGAGATGTAGAGCAATCCCAGAGCTTCTCAGATTACTCGGAAGAACGTTTCACCTAATGAGTAGCCTTAGAACGACTGCACATACACGGCAGTTTAGGTGCTAGAAGGAATACTAAAGAGACTTAGAAAGTCAACAGGACGTTCAAACAGCCCATGGCTAGTGGCGTCATTCACATATCTGTATATATATATACAGATATACATATGGAAACACACACACACACACACACACTCACTTTAGCAAGTCGAAAGGTATTCCTGAAGGGGTCTTGATGCTCTTATATCTTACCCCAGACCCTGTGTCCAGATTGAAGCCCCCTATATTCAGGGATGGCTGATGCAGGTGACTTTTGAGTTTGGACTTGGGGTGCTCGGCTCCCAAACTCCAAACCGTTACCCAGCCTTCAACTATAGTGAACCCCAGAGAGTTGGAACATGGATTTACGATGATTAGTGCTAGGATTCCCTCTACTTTACCGTAGGAACATGGGGATAATCGTGTTCCAACTTTCTGGCTCCTACTATACCAAACCCTACTTCTTTCTAGGGCTCCTAGAAAGTCGATATAGGCCGTAGCCAGAGCCTACCAAAAAAAGGAGGTAATGGTAGATCTTGAAGTGATGAACCCGGAGCACTGAAACTCCGTTTAGGGGTTTAGGGTGTAGGCTTTCTGCTTGGGGTTTGTAGTGCGGCAGCCAAAATGGCAATGCAAGATACACAAGTCAGGACGGTTCAGGAGCAGAAAAAGAGCAACATCGGTAATAAAGGGGCCTTAAAAATCAGAATCGGATTTGGGAGAGATTACAGTTTATAGTTCTTATAGTATAGCTACTATGATCAAGAACCCTCAGGAGAAAAATTGAACTTACCTACACTTCTACATATTCTAGATGGCTGTAATGAGCGAGAATAGACCAAGCGTCCCAAGAATCAGCAGCGAAAACGGTCTCCATCCTTACTCGTCAGGATTTGACAACTACGGGGCCCGGAATCCTCAACCCCAAACCAATTCGCAGATTTCTAAGGCCAACCCCAAACCTCAAAGCCTAAACCCCTGCCTGAGTCATGGCATCCTACAGCTCTAAGGAGATCTACTGCTTTGTCAAGGAGGCCTCGATGCTTCTACGTTTCGACTAATCACATCTTGCTGTGCTGAAGATCCTGAAATCCTAAAGCCCTAGAGATTCCGGGCTCCGTGCTACAAGTCCAGGCAACTCCGACACCCTAACCCTCCAAAAAAACCAGAAACCCCGAACATCATCCGGAAAGGGCGCTGCTGTGCAAAGGAAATTACAGCCTTATCCTGCTTCAGTGGACCAGTCTGGCAAATGCTCGTGAATCTGCGATATTGTGGCGCAACCTAGGAGAGTGACAGCGGTACAACACGTAGTCGAAGAGTGAAGGTACGTTCAGCAGTTAAATTAGAGGAGCACAACTCGTGGTACCGCACATGGGTCAAAAGGTCCCCATGAAGCACCCTATAATGGGCTAAATAATGGGTATATAATGGCTATATTAAGGGTATATAGCATTAAGCAGCCCGGGCCCAAAGTCTTCTTCAGTGTGTGCGACGATGAAATTAAGCACATGATGCGTACCGACTGTGCACCTGGTGTTGGACACTCCAACTTGCAAAATCAACCTCAGTAGCTGGCAAATACGATATTGCTCTAGCACGCAGAAGGATAGTGATCCATGTACTCGAGATAGCGGCCACAACTTCGACAAAGCTAACCCTAAACCTCAGATGCAAGACCTTCAAGAAGAAACCCCTCAACGGTCTGCCATCAGCCCTGAGACTCTAAGCGCCCAAGGGTCTTTCCGAAGACATGCTTTTCAACAGCACCGCAAATGGCCGCAAAGACCTGTGGTCCAACGATGGAACTTAAACTAAGACTTGGAGAAGTAAGTTCATAGGTGTACATACTGTATATACGGTTTCTAGGCTTGTGTGTGTGCGCCGTGCACGTATATAATTACATGTATATATATATATATATATATATATATAAATATATATACACACACACACCTGCATACATATACATATACATATACATATACATATACATATACATACACATACACATATACATATACATATATACATATATACATATATACATATATACATATATACATATATACATATATACATATATACATATATACATATATACATATATACATATACATATACATATACATCTACACATATACATATACATATACATGGAGACAGAAGGAGAGACAAAAACCACATACAACAAATGCATACCTGAATATATAGATACACAGACAGACAGGCGACAGACCAACAGACAAAAGAGAGACAGCGAGAGAGAGACAGAGAGAGAGGGGGAGAGAAAGAGACAGAGAGAGCCAATGAACACAACGCTTCAGAATGGGATTTGTCGTTCTCAACGTAATGCGGAAGCCAATTCAATTGCGAATTGCTGAACCCAACCTCCCAAACCCCAATTCTAACGCAGCCTATGCTGCAGATGCTCAGAAATACATGCATGTTGCCGACCACTCGGCCTCTGGGAAGGCTTCGCGAATGATGCCGAACCTCGTTTGTAAGTCGTTTCAGATTTAGGGGCTTAGGCTCAACGGTTGGAGCACAGAGTTTTAAAGTCCAGGGAAAAGTGTCTGCGGCCAGGGTTTTAGCAGTGCTCGGATCTCATGCATGATATTCGCGAAACTACACGCGTAGCTTGCCCGACTTGAATTGCCCACCGCAGTTGACAACATGGCTTTCATGGTTGGGTCCAGACTCTTCCACTTAGCGAGAGCCGGCCACGCAGTAAAGCCAAAACCCCAGACCCCAAACTCTATACCCCAATCCCTACATATTATGAGGGGCCCCCGACATCGAACTGCAAAACACCTGAACGAACTTCGGAGTCCCTCCACGTTTAAGTGGTGGTCTCCTTTTTTTAGTTTAGGGTTTATATAGGGCTTGGGGTTGAGGAGCCGGAGCGGTCCGTGTGCTAAAGATCCTTGTTATTGTTTCGGGGCTTATACTCGGGTTCCATGTTTCCTGAAACCGTTCATTAACCACCTACAACGAGAGGCAAATGACGGTTCTGCTACGAGTGTAGAACAGCGCACGTCTTTATTTATTGCGACCTGCAGCCACCGTAGGATGGACCGAGCACGTATTAACATGATTGGTGTTCCAGCGTATACGTACACAGCCCTAAGTATCCGAGACCCTTCTTTACACCCGAAACTTCCCGATACGCTGTAAGACTCCGACTTGGATCAGAAGCCAGTCGCTGCATAAACCGTGAAACCTTCTATATCGGATGTGGGTCTTTAGCATTCCGGGTTGATACAGACCCCTGGTTAATCCCGCTCTTTCCGAGCCCTTATCACCATAGCCGTTAACTTCTTCACCATGTTTCACCTGCTGAGGAGCGCGCAAACTCTGAGCCCTAAAACCTAAGCCCTGAACCCCCTACACACTTCCACTTCGAAGCGTTGCAGAACACGGACAAAGGTAGCACCACTGAAGAAGAGAAGGAACCGATCCTCCTTAACTCACCCTTACAGCAGATTTCCGAAGCAAGCTAGGGTTTAATGCTCCCAAACCCTAAACCCTAAACCCAAGGGGAAGCCCTTCCCAGAAGGTCGAGGGACAGCGGATGCGGCGCCAACTGCGCACCTGCGAAGGTTCTGCTTTCAGGTGATCTTGCCTTGATATGAGGTGCCTTGACAATTAGAATAGGGTTCCTTTAAAGGGGTCCATGAGGGCTGCCATAAGGGATCTAGGATCTAGAAGGATACTGTAATATAGGGGCCAAGTTAGAATAGGGTTTTGAGGCCCATTATGCTATAGCTATAATACCTGTAAGGAGCCCCACCAAAACAGAATTGGCCATATTTAGGCCCCTACTTTACCTTGCTATGAGGTCTGCCGGGAATCTCCGGATTTGGGGTTCTGAAATCCATCCGGGTGGGGAGTTGCGGATGCACCCAAGCATCAGATCCCACGACATATACCAAATATCATATATGGGTACCTGTCAAAATTAGGGTCCCTTTTGGGGTACCCTAAATAATGGATGCCGTATTATAATAGGGACCCCAAAAGCGACCATAATTTTGACAACCACCCATATCTTACCCTGAGGTGACAGGAAGAGTAATATAGGGTTCGGAAAGCTTCGTAATAGCACCCCTTGCAGTCCCGATATGACAATACTCTCGTCCCCCGAAAGCCTATTCTACTTATTAAAGCCTTATAGCCGGGGAAGAAGCTGCCTCGTTGGCTGACTTGAAGCTCGATGACCAAAGAAGGGGACAGCAAGCCTGGGTTCTGGCAAGGGCTCTCAGGGCTTCAAAGTGCAAGGGCTCCAGGCGCTAGGCGTAGCTCCAGGGTTTTAGCGTGGTGCTCGGTCTCGGAATCGCCTTCTTGGTGGATGGGTTGTGGGAAAGTGGTTGCAGCTAGTTCCTTTCAAGTCTCTCTCCCTCGTCACAGGAGCTCATAGTCAGAAACCACGGCGCAGTTGGCTTTCAGAGCTACAAGTAAACCATGTAGCTACATTAAGGCAAACAGCCTCAAGGCTCCCTAAAACCTGACCTCAGCCTCAAAGCTCTGAAATGTTCTAAGTCGGTTGAATAACAAACCTGGGGATTGGGACCTCAACCGCCGAACCCACGATGGCTCGTGTCGCAACCTTAACTAACATTAAAGTCGAGAGTACACAGGGGCGGCGGAATTGTATTCGACGATATTCTATTCTCTTAAGTCGTCCTTGGATAGTTGTACTTTAATATGCCATTCATGAAAGGCCCCTATACGCAACGCCAACCACCTTCGGATGAGGTTGAGATGACTTTGAGTTGATCTGAGGTTCGTGGTTTACATGCCCCCGCCTGCGTTCTTACACCTTTAAACTTTAAACCACCGCAACCACCCGATCTTGAGGACAGCGAAATCTTTCATGAACCGTGCGGACTCACCTGCAACACCGACCACACAGCACCCAAAACAGCTGCAATGACTGAGGGATGAGGGGGCTCGTAAGATGCAGGCCCCCGATGAGCAAACCCCCACTGCCCCTACAGGGATTATAACCGGGATACTACCACTGGGGCCCTCAAAGGAAGGGAGGTTTTGAATCAGGGGTCTGAATGAACCCTAAGCTCCGACACTTCAATCCAGCCTCGCTTCGAAGAAAAAACGAAGCCCTAAATTCTAACCATCAGTCACTCAGTCAACAAATGAAAAAAGTCCGGGTGCTCGCGTCCAGGGCAACACTGCTCTGCCTTCCCAGTTTGTAGTCCACGAAGCGCCTGTGTCTTCGCACCCTTAAGCAGTACCGAAGGTAGAGCCATCCAAGCTCGAAGTGTCCGAGGTTCTTGCAGATGAGCTTAAGTTACGTTACTCTCATAGCCGTCTGAAGTAAGGAGTATGAAACCCTGATTAAGGTAAACTTGAACACAAACCAGTCCAAGAGCAGAATTCTGAATCCCTTCCACAAGCCTTTCCGATAGCCTCGAGGCTAACAGTTAGGACGAAATGGCGCCTCTGTAATGAGCGTTAGCAACACGAGAACCAGTGCCCAAGTACGGTACCATTCAATCTATGCCAAAAGTAAGTCCAGCTGTGCCTACCGACAAGGGTCGGAGTACAGGGCTTGGGACTTCTAGTTGCCGCTAGCCTCCAATTGCGCGGCCGCTTGATCACTCATAAAGCTTCTGCTATTACTACTACTACTACTACTACTACTACTACTACTACTACTACTACTACTACTACTACTACTACTACTACTACTACTACTACTACTACTACTACTACTACTACTACTACTACTACTACTACTACTACTACTACTACTACTACTACTACTACTACTACTACTACTACTACTACTACTACTACTACTACTACTACTACTACTACTACTACTACTACTACTACTACTACTACTACTACTACTACTACTACTACTACTACTACTACTACTACTACTACTACTACTACTACTACTACTACTACTACTACTACTACTTACTACTACTAACAGCTTCAGGGTCTCTGGCTTGATCCCAAGCGTACGCCTGGGATTCTGTAAGAAGGACACAGGGTGACCCAAACAAAAAGGATCAACATGAGGGGGTCTAGGCAAAGCTGAAATCCTAAACACAAACACCTAAACCGGAATCCTAAAGCATAACCCTAAATCCCAAAGCCCGAAAACCCCCAAACCCCTGCTCGATTAGGATTGAAGCTTTGGGCGTGAGGGAGGCCAAAATTGCTTGGGCACTTCAGCTTAGGGTTTAGGGTTCTGTGGATGGGTTTAGGGTTTAGGGTTGAGGGTTTAACGAAGTAAGGTTTGGGGTGAAAGCTTCCTCGCATCGTGAAGAGGAGGAGCTGGAATGCTACGCTTGATGATATGAATCTTGCATGACCCATAATGAGGAATAACATAATTCCCATAGTGTAGAGTCCTTAAGGTAATGCAGGATTTATATCATCAACCGTAGCGTGTTCCTAGCAACCTGTAGTCCGGGCATGCTCACGGCCAAATCATTTTGAACAAATCGTATATACATGTCATACACAAAAATACATTTGTACGCGCATACGTACATACATATACATACAGACATACATGCGTGCAGAAACGCGGACATGCATAAATACAGCCATCCATGCACGCATGCATACATATGGTGTAGTTAAACAGCAAACTGCATTTGCACCGGTATCAGCAACCATGCCTGTATCACCACGTCTATGTACACACATATCACGCACATGTATACGTGTATGCAATTATACACACATACATCTACAGATCAGATACTTACCAACGTACATGCAACCACATGCATCTGTGCCGACTACATGTTGTATTTGATCTGGTGCCGAGAGGCATGATGCGGGATGTCAGCTCCATAGACACGTGCTGCGCATGCAGATACTGTCCTGAGAGCCCAGCGAGACACATGCACGGCTGAAACACTGCTCCCTTTCGAACTCAGGCTCCTTGTTTGAAGATCGAAGTACTCTACTCTACTGGGAATCCCGAAACCCTAAACAGCCCCTGACACACAGACATGGCAGGAGGAGATTCGGATATCATGAAATCCTCCGTATCCATTGCAGGCCTCAGGAAGCCCAAGCCTTCTTTCTTCGTGATTCATTCTCCAGGCAGCATGTCCAACTTGTTTGCTGGATAGCGAGAACCTCAAGAACCTCGAGCCGAAACTACACGGTTTAGGGTTTAGGGTTGCGTTGCATAGTACTTAGCATTTCACCCGAAACCTGAAATCGAGACCTTCACCCATGCAGCTGAAAGGAACAGAAGGTCCAGAGATGCACAATCACGACGGAACTGGGGTCCCAAGAACCCATAACAGCGAAGTTCTGAAGCCTATAATGGACCATCTCAGAGCTTCAAAACCGAAACCTAAAAGACAGAAACTTTCAACCGAAGCCAGCAATAATGCGAAGTGGCGTACTTCCCTTCGCCTTTTAGATCCTTCGGAGTTGATCGTCCTGTGCAGCACTCATCATGAGCTTACTTGGGGTTTAGGATGAAGCTGTAAGGCCTTGAGATTTTATAGTTCGGGGCTTTATGACCTTGGGAACTTAGAACTTAGAGTTCAAACATTTCTGTAGAGTTTCTGGACGTGTTTAGACTCCCGGCACCTATACCCCCTTAAACCGCAAACCCTCGCATGTTGTGTTGGTTCATTGCGCGCATCTTCGACACTAGCAGCTTGCATTGCGGGTCGTGGGGCTTAGTGCTCAAGCTTTGCTTCGAAACTCAACACCACAAATTCTGGATCCTTGGCCTGAAACATCAAACGCGGACCGGAACGGCTGATGATATAAATCCTGCATTACCCATTATAAGGAATGTACCATAATTTCCATAGTATAGGGTGTTTAAGGCAATGCAGGATTTATATCATCAACCGAAGCACGACCTCTCTCAAGGTTGCACTACAACAAGATAGAGAGCCCTCAGTAGAAGTTCAGGGCTTGGGCCGTCATTCTAATCATTCTAAGCCCATACTGGAATACCCTATTTTGGAGTAATTATAATTTCAGGGTTTAGGGCTTAGGGTTTTTTTAGAGTGCAATAGCCCCTTTTCCAGGGTTCAGGGTTTGAGGTTTATAATGCTGTAGTCTAGTCGAGTCTACTATAGGAAACTATATGGTTCTCAGCACGACAACCTGAAACTGTTGGGAATGCTCCTGAGCTCTGCAAGCGTCCCTGTGATCTTTGACAGGGCGGAACCGATGATCACCACAGTGGAGCCTCCAAGAGGGATTTGGGGTTTAGGGGACATTCGGAGCCAGCTCTATCATCTTCTAGCCTGTTGGCATCAATCGTCTTCCTATTTATCCGAGTGACGGTGCTACCAGTATCCTCTCGCAGTCTCCCCGCCTTTCGACCTTTTGCCACTGTTGCCATTACTACTCTTCTAAGCCTTCACGATCCCAAAGACAGCCCCAGACAAGGTCTAGGCCCCTCTCTGGGCCGTGCCATCAGGAGCCGAGGCACCCACAATGAAAATGCAGTATAGGCCTCAGCTAGGAAGGCGACTGCAGTGCATTGTAAGATAGGCCGGAATCTGAACCACCAATGTAGACTCTCGATATAAACATCTGTAAACCCTCATACGAATTTGTAAATCATACAATAGAGGAGGCTGTGGTACTTCAAGGTAGCTGTTACCATAAACCCTCATATGGAATATCTGCCTACAACAAAGGAGGATATGGTAGTTCAAGGTACTCCCATCCCATAGGCAAACGCTGTGAGAGGGGATCAATCCAACTCAGGAGTCATACCTTAGGGGGGTAGGGGGAGAGGGGAAGGGGGCCTTAATGTCGGACCTAATACGGCCTATCCCCTCCCCCTCACCCTCCTAAGGGTCCCTATGACGGAGGGACTTTCCATCGTGCAGCCTTGCTGGTTCTCGTTAGCACATCGTGAAGTCAATCTTGCACGGAACAGTTGCGAGCTGCAAATTCGTCAACAGCACATGGATGGTTGTCAAAATTATGGTTCCTTGTCGGGTCCCTATTATAATACGGCACCTAATATTTAGGGTACCCCAAAAAGGGGCCATAATTTCGTCAACAGCACATCGCGAGTCCAATCTTGCAGGTTTTATTCACGAACTGGAGAAGAGGCCGGGTCCATGTGAGAGCTTCCGAAAATAGGGGACCCTAAACTAGCAGCCTAAGTAGTAGGACACTTATTATAAGGACGACCAAATAAGGACCCCTAATTATCGGGAACTCCCATGTTGGCAGCCCATTCCTATGTATTTGGGACATAGAGTAGAATCATACTAACAAACTATATTCTGACTAGCAAGGCACCGAAAACTTTATTTCTTCTGGGAGCCTTTAAAGCCCTTACAGAAGCCCCTAAAGAACCTAAGCCCTTAAGCGAGCCCTTGAAGGAATACTTCGAAGCTATGAGGGCTAATACGACTCGTCAGTCTTTAAGCTGACGCATTGATGCCAAGCTAAGCAACAACAAAAGGGATTAAGGGTTTAGGGTTTGTAAAGGGTTCAGGGAGGGACATGAAGTTGAATAGAATTGAATAATTGGCGGATATTGCAGCGAATCAGTACCGGGATCATATGGGAGCACAGTGGTCTTTCACCTGCTCTTCAAACCGAAACGTTTCATGCAGGTTGTCTCAACTATCTCCTGCTCACGACCCTCTGCCAGTTGGGAGGTGCCTGGATTTCATATCTCAACCTCTATACTTGACAGTGCTTGTGAGTATCGATAGTCCGCTACAGCCAGGCCCACCCGCTAACCCGAAACCCTAAAACGAAATCCTGAACCTTGAGCTGCATTCCAAAGCGAAATCCGAGACCCCAAACACCAACCCTTCATGCGAAACCGAATCTCATCTCCATGAAACCCCTAACCCTAACCCGCTGAACCCCCTGAATCCCAAGCCCTCATACGCCTTAGGTCGGGTCACGCTCGGCCACGTTGTCGTTGGACACCGGAGGAGGGGAGGGGGGCATCAGGACCCATTGCATCGCATGCACGTACTGGATCGGTCCTTCGGCTGCCAGGGCTTGGGGATTCAAGTTTAACCTAGTGTCTCTGAAAAGTATTTATGAATAGGTACCTCTACAGGAACCATAAAGGGCAATCAAAAAGTTTCCCAAATTGCCACCTAGTACAGCTTTTCGGGATTCTAGGGCTTCTCGGATTTCTTCACTTCGGTGTAGGGTAGAAACTCTAGTTTGGGGTTTGGGGCTCCGAAGAAAGGGTTCCCAGCCTAAGCTATAGGTATTTATGGTGCATCTCGGGTTGATGGCTACAGACAAACCGAGTAAGAACATGCCGTCGGTCGCAATCTTCCTTGCAATGTTTTTTTATTCTGACACGCTAATCATATAGCGGCAATAACTAGTAACAATCAGAATTGGGTTTGGGGCCCATTAGACTATAATTATCTTAAGGATCCCCAAACTAGTATTGGTAGTTATTTAGGCCCCCACAATAGAACCATGTCGTAGATCCCTTCTAGACCCCTGTAAGGACCCCTTTGAAAGGAGCCCGAGGTAATTATAGGCCCCTATAGTAGGCATCTTGCAGGTGATGTCCTGGTGTTAAGGACGATTACTTCTTGTCCATGGCTTATGAAAATAGCCCTCATTTCCTTGGCTGAGATCTAAACCCCCAAAGCCGATCCTTAGACACACGAAACCGGAGAACACCCTGAAAACCCAGCAACAAATCCTAAATCTATCCCTGGGCATTCCCCCTCAACTAGTTCTTCAACCTCAAATCCGTTGGGCGCAGGGCTTGGGTCGAAGTCGAACTATACCACCAACATGTGGGGGTTTCCGAAAATAGGGGACCGTAAAATAGTACCCGAAATAGTAGGATCCATACTATAAGGACCTTAAAATAAGGTACCCCTAACTTTCGAAAACTCCCATGTTGCCCCAAGAACAGAAAGAGCTATGATCGAAGTTTGGGGTTTCAAGCGAATCCCACCCTCCCTCCCCCCGACATGGTGTATACGTTGCAGCTTCTAGGGTTTATGACAACTGCCAGATCAGGTTGAGGGTCTAGATTATAGTGTACAGGGTCAACTGGAATTCTGATTCCAATCTTCCCGGCAAGCACCCTTGATCCAACTTGGCCTCCAGCAGAAGCCCAAAAGTTGGAAACCCCATGGCTTCAATCCTTAAGCGTAATGTATAGGGAATCCCAGCACTATTCGGCCTTAATCCGGTTTCAAACTGTACGGAATTTACTGTTTGCTGTACATAGTTGCCCGACCCGGAGGAGACCCGACATCTGCCTTGCCGCCCTCGGATCTGAAATTGCCCAAGTCTCCATCGAGGTCAGTGATGTTACCCAGCTCCAGCCAAGATCTCTGATCGAAGCTGTCCCTGCCATGCCATGATACTCAGACTAGGATCGCTTAGGGCTTGGCTTGTATTGTTACAGTAGACATGGCTTTAGGGTTTATAGGGTACAGTCACCATCGATAAAGGTAGTGGCACTGACAATCTCGCGGTGTAGCCCTTACTGCAGAAGTCTTGAAGGCCAGAAGTGCGAGGGAGACCCGAAACGAGAGAGGGCGGATTGGATTCAACACGCGACATCCCAACTATGATCATGAACTAACTCTAGGGTTTGGGTATAAATACACTCTTGGGTCGGGGCACGAACGTAATGCCTTGCGGCCAGCCCGGTGCATCGACTCTGAATGTCCCTAAACCTCAAATCCCGCCCTCCGGCCCTGGAGACGGTATGAGACATCGTATGGTGTTGTAGTTAACCCAAACGATTTCGTGATCCAAGCCGCCTTCCCAGCAAGTACCATCCGCAAGCTAGGACATGAGCACAGAGCACCATTGTCAAAGTGGTATTGACCTAATGGGCGTCGAGCTGTTGATTGGGGCTAGGGCTCGTTTCTTTTTTGGGGGGGGACTACGAGGGCTTTGAGCAAAGGGCTCATGGCCTTGCAGTGCTCGGGCTTTCAAAACACATGGCTCAGGGATCTGAGAATTTGGGTTTAGCATGGTACAGGGACTGCCAGAGTGACTAGAAAGCGAAAACAACATGGTGAGAATGGAAAAATGTCGAAGCGGCTGCCACTGAGGTTTCAAACGACTCACGATGAATGACAACGATGGCGACGGCAAACAAGTGCGTAGGCCGCAAACATTGGAAACGCAGCGAAGACGAGATTGAGCGTGTTGGCTCTGAGCCCCGGCAGAGTCAATCCAATCAATCAAGCTGCAATGGCCACCACCAAAACTAGCCATTGTCGACCCGCTGCAACAGAAGCTTCCTCGATGACGACACCTAAGTTGACACGTCCGGGCTGGAGGGGAGGGAGGGATAAGGGGAGATCGGGCCTGGGGCAGCATGGCTTTAAAATTGTCAGCGCAACAACGGCAGCATCCGCAACATCAATATAGAAGGTAGTAAGTAGAAGAAGTAGTAGTAGTAGTAGTAGTAGTAGTAGTAGTAGTAGTAGTAGTAGTAGTAGTAGTAGTAGTAATAGTAGTAGTAGTAGTAGTAGCAGTAGTAGTAGTAGTAGTAGTAGTAGTAGTAGTAGTAGTAGTAGTAGCAGTAGCAGTAGCAATTATTGTTAGTAGTAGTAGTAGTAGTAGTAGTAGTAGTAGTAGTAGTAGTAGTAGTAGTAGTAGTAGTAGTAGTTGTGGTCGTAGTGGTGATAGCAGTAGCAGTAGCAGTCGCAGTGGTAGTGTCAGTGGTGGTGGTGGTGGTGGTGGTGGTGGTGGTGGTGGTGGTAGCGGTAGTAGTGGTAGTAGTAGTAGTAGTAGTAGTAGTAGTAGTAGTTGTAGTAGTAGTAGTAGCAGCAGCAGCAGTTCGTATTAGCAGGAGTAGTAGTAGTTGTTGTTGTTGTCGTCGTCGTTGTCGTAGCAGTCGTCGTCGTAGTAGCAGTAGCAGCAGTAGTAGTAAGTAGTAGTAGCAGCAGTAGCAGTCGTCGTAGTCGTAGTCGTAGCAGTAGTGTAGTAAGAGGAGGAGCAAGAAGAGGAGGAGGAGTATAAATTTGCATACATACATATATATATATATACACACACACATCCTCCACCATCCAGCTGGATGTTAAATGAGCCGAATGAATGCTTCTTGAATTAGTCATTACCATTAGCAATATTCAACGCGGAAGTAGCTAGTAAGCAGTCGTCACCGTAGCACAATGAAATCAACATACGACACCGTGTGAGGTGTGAAGTACCAGGATTGTGTTGAATTGCGCAACTTAATAACACTCATTGAAAAAGATCCGAATTCATGATGATGGTTCAATGTAGCTTTCTCCGCTCCGGGTTTGAAACGATCCGAAGCAGTATAACATAGTTACAACCGTGAGTTCGAAAGCCGGCGGAGGCCAAAGTCCTCAACCCCGAACCCGAAATTCCCTCTCTCGATCCTAACCCGAAAAGAAGTTATGCGAGAGGGGATTCTGTAGGGTCTAGGTACGTACAAGCCAAATCCTTTCAGCTATCACTGTTATAGGGACCCTTCGGGGGGTAGGGGGGAGGGGGGTAGGGGACTATACTTCCTTAAATTGGCCTTATTAGGTCCTTATTATGGGCATTAAGGCCCCCTACCCCCTACCCCCCCCCTAAGGGTCCCTATGACATTGTGTCCGCGCAGCTGAGTCTGCTCATTTTCAGCAGCCTGCCAAGTCAGACACTGAAACAAGCCTGGTTTGTTGCTAATTAAGGGATTTATGTTGAGTTTTCATAATAAAGAAACCAAAGCACCTACTATAGATCCCCATTAATTTATGGTAACTTAAACTAAATTCCTTAACAAGACTCAGGAGCTTGCATGTCACTAAACCCTAAAATTTAGTTCATTATATATATATATATATATATATATATATATATATATATAGAAGCCACGATAAAGAACCCTAAAGCAGTTTCTAGTAGGATTGCTTTTGGCCGGCTACCGGCAAATGCTAAAATATGCGAAACTGCTGTCCGCCAGCAGTTGCGATCTTTGAGGTTTTGGCACACTTAAGGAACACGGTTGAGCAGTCTTCCGGTGTGAGGCGACTAGAACTAGAACGACTGGGTTTGTCGATTGGCATACATAATCTGGGGCGATCGAGGTGCGGAAAGGTTCAGGGGTTCAAAGTCTAGCGCTCAAGGGTTTGGGATTTAGGGCTGTCAGGGATCACGAGTTAAACAGATTGAGGTTCGAAGGGCTCACGGTTAGAGGATTGGGGCCTCGATATGGCAACAGAACCGGTTTAGGGTTTAGGGGTTTAGAGTTTAGGATCTTTCGGCTTTGGGGTTTATAGATTGCGAGTCGATCGGGATTCGAGTCAGCCCATGAGTAAGTCAATCCGAACCATAACCGTGGGAAGTGTTTCCAAAGCGCTGTCCAACCCCAAAGAAACACGGGAACATGATATGGGTGGTTGTCAAAATTAGGGTCCCTTTTTGGGGTCCCTATTATAATACGGCACCTATTATTAAGGGTACCCAAAAAGGGCCCTCATCTTGACAACCACCCATATACATCAAGGGTGCCCCCCGACCCAGTGTTTTCACCTGCCGCAGGTCCCACAGCCTCCCAATGTCCTAGTGCGACCTCCCAGATTGCCGACATTCCAAGTGTCTCTCTTGTGGCTTGTGGTTTCAGCTTCTGGCCTAAACTCTGTTTAAGCCTTATGGTCAAGCTTTCAGACGAGCTCCCACTTCCGGATTCTCCACCTTTCAACCGGCCGACAGAGCACCCATGTTTGCAAGCTTCAGGGTTAAGAGGCTGAGGGTAGAGTGGACTGACTCCGCGTAGGTACTCGCGCCTCAATATTCGACGAAGTTATCCAGCTTAATTAAGTCAGGCTCTGTCTGGAGCGAGGGCAAGGACAAAATGAGCTCAAGCACTACCAGTATTCGCAAGATATGCGACTGATGCGACTACCCTCACTCTGACTACTGCGATCCTGCATTTACAACCCCCAATTCTACAGCTCTAGATACTGAACCCCTAAACTGAAACCTCCATCCTAAACCTGAAACCCCAAACCGCTCTAAGACTGTCAACTTCAACGCAGCTTGCCTCAATAGCCTGAAAGCACGGAGAATGCGCAGTGCCCGAAGGCTCTTCAGAATGTCTTGAGGCTCGAGTCCACCGAGGCCTCTTGGGTTTAGGGTAGGATTTGCATGGATTTGCCCTGTAATCCCTGGCAGCCTGCCTTTTCGAGGACTTGTAATACGGAATTCAGAATTAACAAGGCGCCCCAAAAGTTTAGCTTCCTTAGGGTCCAAGTTGGGTTTAGGATCAGGGATTCTTTGGGTTTAGAGGCTTAGGAATGTCTAGCGTTTACGGCTTGCTGTGGTTGGAGATTTGAGGAAACTATGGGTCATTGGGGTGTATTTAGCGGCGAGGGACCTGCAGCAGCATGGGGCTTGAAGTGTTCAGCAGCTGCGAGTTTGAACGCCGTTGTCGAATTGGATACTGTGAGACCCAGGTACCCTCTATGTGATGGAAGCGAACACTTCTCCCCAGATGCATTGGCTTGGGGCTTGAGGTAGGCACCAGCCTGCAAAGGAACGCCAGGTTCCGCGTGTTTGGCGGGGGGAGGGGACTTAGAGGCTAGAATGCCCGAACAGCAATCTCCAGTGTGCCACCCTGTGCAGGCCCACTCCAACCAAAGCTCATCATATGTATCTATATATATATATATATATATACATATATAAGATTTGGTACAGGGTTCCTTTGAGGGGGAACCCCAAACCAAAGCTCAAAACCCCTGATGACCGACGGAGTCACGACCAAACCCAACTGTTGGCTTCAGGGATCGTTCGGTCTTAGAGAGTTGCATGATCTTCCTATAACCTTTGTCGCCTACCTTTTCAGGGATTCCTTACTCTGATTTCCTCAACTGTGTCTGTAAAACTCGGCAGATTCTTCAGGGTTCAGGTAAGGATTAGGCCGTACCTGAACCCTAAGAGCGATGCGCGCCTTCGGTCGGGACACCTGCGTCACGGCAAGCGACTGAGTGTAAAGGCAAAGATCTCAGCTTCTTGAGCTGGTTCCTAGCAACCCCCCACGTTAAGGGTTTGGGGTTTAGGGTTTATGGGGATTTTAACGTTCAGGGTATGGTTTCAGGGTTTAGTTTTTTTGCATCGCTTCTCCAACTCGCCAGAGGTTAGCCAGAAATCCTGTAACAGTGTGCGCCGCAACTGAACTTGAAGAAAGAAGCCTGAAATCCACCCTCACCGCAAGCCAGTCGAGGGTTCCGAACAACCCGTATACAAGCCCTGTCAGGCTTACTGGACCAGGGCAACATGGGCAGCTATATATCAAGGCGTCCAGGGATGCTGGGCAGAAAGAAGTTGAAATTGCTGGAGCTCAATTGCCTTTGATATCCACGGCAGGATCAAACCAGAGTTAGGAGAGGAATCAGCCTTTCAAGGACAAGGTCAACTACTTGCACAATACAAACGACAAAAACGCAGAGCTGGCCCATGAGCTTGTTTTCGGGGATCGGTTTTTTGATGTAAGTCACAGGATAGTAAACCGAAGCATGATAACTCTTGAAGACAACGGGGCTGTGTTCTGGCCGCTTGGCGGAACGGCCGCTTCTCTTCGACCATGAACTCTGTCCATCATTACAAGATGGGGTGCCGGAAGCGATTCCTCGGAACGTGTGGCAGTGTACAGACCACGTGGTTCTAACTCGCAGAGTTAAGAGAATTGGTGGTGTATCCCGCTGGGATTTTGGCCGTCCCCCTGAATCCCGCCCTCTAAACCCTACAGTAAACCCTATACCCTTAGTTTGGTCGTGTCTTGGCGGTGTCCTGATGGTTTCAGGGATCTCCTCGTGGTCTGCTTGTCGTGGTCGTCAGTGTCGTCGTGGTGCTCTTTCACTTTTTGGGGGATTTGAGCTGGCGCAAGAAAATCCTGGCACATCTCCCCACAAAGGTGGTAGGATTCATACTTCAGATTTTTATCGGCTCGGTTACCCAGACCCCTGGAAGGATCTAGAAAGTAGATCCCCCAATTTGGGGCCCTATACTACTAAGGGTATATAGGAACCCCCACTAAGGGATCTACTTTTTGGATCCTCCCGGGGGTCTGGTTATTGGTTCTTCACTCAAAGCCCACGCCCGTGGAACCTGCCAGCGCAAACTGATAGACTGCGGCGGCCACCTCAGCAGCACGCCCTCTCCGGACCCTAAGCTGTAGTACCGTTTTGGATACCTGCCCATAGGGCCCCATCGTAGTTCCTTTTTGAGGTTCATATTAATATGTAGAACCCTATGAAGTAATCCCAAAAAGGAACTACTTACTATGGGGCCTATGGGTAGTTTGAGCTTATCGGATCATAACAATCAATCAAGCAGGTTGTCCAAGAAAAGACAGTCTCGGGTCTAGGTAAACCCCTGCACACAGGTTTATGAACGTTCTGGCTCCCTTAAGCATAGGGGTCCTGCATACGGGAACCTGGTATACAGACGTTAAATCAGGGTCCCGGGTTTCCGGTCCCGTTTTTACTGAAACCCCATTACGCATCTGAAACAAAACCGACGATTGTCACTTCCACCCACACACACACACACACCGCAGAAACTAGATTTTTGGACAGCACGACGGCAAACCCTAAACGCTCAACTTCCGCATTACCCTAATTAACAGAATCCCCAAGCTGCACCCCGGAGCCACGAAATCCAAGACGTGTCAATCACGTGTTGAAGGATTTGGGGTTGGGTTTAGTTAAGCTTTCAGGCTTCGGATTGGGATTTCTTGCGCACTCGTCCGCCAGCATCAGCTTCACATCCAAATAGGCTGGCATTGAAACGAGTCAAACCAATGCAGGGATCGGCCAGCTTGCAAATCCCCCCATGTCCGGGACAGGTAGACACCTCGTAAACCCAAACCATAAAACATTTTCCCCCTCCCCATATTAAATCCTCAGGCCCCAAGTCAAGGAGACATTGCTTCTACAGCCAAACAAGGAAGCCTGTGTTCGTCGTCCTTCCCAAAGCCATTCTAAACTCAGAAACTCTGACCCTGCCCTAACCAACAGACCTCATCCAAGGCCCGAGCATCCAGCGATATCAGGACGAGGTCGAAAATGAGCCTTCCAGTGAGCTTTCAATGTTTCAAGGCGATGATGTCCACAGCCGCAGTAGTTGTGCTTAGACCTCTACTGTAGGGGCCTTAATTATTACCTACACTATTTTGGGTGGTTCCTCATTATAGTTATAGTATATAATGGGCCCCAAAACCCTGTTCTAATTATTAAGGCCCCTATATTACGATCTATAGCGGCTCGGAACTATGCACCCACCCAGCGAGCGAAACCAAGATATTCTCAGGGAAGGGGTTCTGTCTTCCACCGACATCGAGGGTACAAGAGCATGACAAAGGCAAAGGAGCACGTCTGCTTAGGCCCTTTTGGGGCAAAATTCGACACGACCTATGCTTCTCCGCTGCTTTTGTGGAAATCTGCCGAAGAGCACATGCAGGCTTTGAGTTGCAGTGGAGCCGGCCCCCACTTTGGGGCTTAGGGTTTCACCAGAGTTTAGGATGAAACAACCCAGCATCAGATTTCCAGACTACCGCCTAGCACTGCTTTGTTAAGGGAGGTGATGCTGCGTTGCATATAACAATGGGAAGGGAACCGGGAGAGCGCGCATGCCTGATTGCTCTGCGAGTCAATACGAGGGGCAGTGCAGCATATCGCAGACAGAGTCTAAGTGGAGGGATTTTGCCGCTCTCTGCATCTCTCTCATGTTGCGGAACTGCCCTCTTGCAGACATCGTTCCCAGATGCTTTCATTAGAAACCGTCAGCAAAGGCTCCGGCCAAAGACCCCTGGGCCTGGCCACCAAAGACAGCTCTGAGTTTTCAAATTCCTTCCAGGTCGCCAGGTCGTCAGGTAGTGGCAAAAGATCTGCCCTCGGTCCAGCACCTGAGATTCACCCTGAACCCTAAAATTCCCTAAACCTTAATCATTAAGCCCTTAACCCTAAAATCCCTAAACCTCAATAGGGCTTTCCAAGGTTAGGGTGGAGGGAGCCTCCCACTCTCACAGCCTAAGGGACTTCCGACCATCAGCGCCTCAATGCAGCATCTCAGACAAAAATGAACAACAGAAGCAGAAAACACGAAATACCGGGGCTCGGCAAACAGACATGTCAATCTCTGAAGTAGACAATCATATTTGACTCAAACCGGGAAGCTTCAAAACACCCAATGCTTGAATGGATAAGCAGAAACTGCTTCACACTTCACTTGTCTTTCAAGGACCCTAAACCCCCAAACACGAAGCCCCACGTAATCATACAACAGTTGGTCAGCAAGAGACCTAAGCGAAACTTCGATACCCAAGCCATGCCAACAGTTGAAACCCACAGCCTGAAACTCTGAGCGCTCAGACGTGCACCCCAAACCTGCCCACCTGCTATTATAGAGGCTTTAAAGTCAGAATAGGACTTGGGGGCCCATTATAAGACTATAACTATAATAAAGAACCCCCAAAATAGTACCCTAAAGACCCAAGACATTCTGGGGTAGGGATTCCTGAATATGAACCCTATTATGGGAACCCTAGTCCATACTAAACCCCCATAGGCTAAAACGCCTTTTGGCCTCCTATGATCAACGCCCAGTGGCCAGCCGACCCTTCGAGTAAAACCCGGTGTTCAGGGTCATGGCAACCTTCGGAACATTGCGGCGTCGGCTGCAGTGCCATATGGGAGTTTCCGGAACTTAGGGGTGCCGTATTTTGGGGTCCTGATAATAGGGATCCTACTATTTAAGGGGTTTCCGAAAATCGGGGACCTTTTAAGGGTTCCGTTCGGGGATCTTTACGGGTTCTCATGGTTGAGGATTTGGGATTCAAAGATTTCGAGTTGTAAGAGTTTAGGATTTAGGGAGTATTTTCGGGGTTTCCGAAGACAGGGGACCATAATCTTAGGACCCTTTATAATAGGATCCTTATTCTAAGGACCCCCAAATAAGGTACGCCTAATCTTCGGAAACTCCGGTGCTGCAATGCAATATAGCGCCCCTGTGACAATCAGCATCGGGTTTCGATGATATCAGACAAGTGTATAAGCTCTGTAAAAGGACTATGATTGCGATTTGTTCTGAACTCTGTATTTTGCTTTAGGACTTGTGGTGCCTTCAGCTCTTTTCAGGTCTAAGGCTCGCGACGAGGAGTTTGGGAATGAAAAGCTGAGGGGATTTGCTCGGGCGGTTTATATATGCAGAGGCGTGCATGATGAGAGTAGGATTTGTTGGGGGGTATGTTTTACTATAGCCTTATTAAGGACTATAGGATGCGTACCTGCATATGACGGGTGTGTGTCTAACTAGCTGATACTAGCTGTAGGCTGCGATGTCACTGTGCCCACTGCAGTTTCAGCACCTCGAAAGCTTGTCTTTGAGGGGTTGGGGCTAAGTGCGGGTTTGGGGTGTAGGGAGCCTGTCCACAGGTCGGAGTGATGAAGATAAGAGTCTAAAATATAATAGGGAAATTTGGCTTCCTCTCCGCTCAGAGACAAGAATGGCGTTGCTTGCGCTCTCTCTCTCTCTCTCTCTCCCTCCCTCTCTCCCTCCCCACTACCGCTGTTCGAATCCGAAGCGATTCGGATTTGGGTCTCGGAATCTGAAACAAGCCGTCAAGGAGCCATGCAAAGACTACTCCGGCACGGCACCGAGAGGCTTGGTCAGTTCTGTTGAAGCGACTTCAAACGAGAGAAGCCTAGCAGTGAACCCGACGAGGTAGTTTCGACTATTCCGACCCTTTTAACCCTGAACTCCGGAATCCTGAACCCTCAAAGACCCATTCAGTAGCTATTCCAGCTTCGCAGCATCAGAAGACCAGTAGGTCAGCGCCGTCAGAAAGGAGAGACACATGAGCGTGCTTCCTGTGCGTTTGGGGTTTAGGGTCCAGGGCTTCAGGGTTCAAGGGCTTAAGGGTTTAGGGTGTAGGATTCAGCCCCACATGTCTTCAGCTTCCTGTGGAGCACCACATTGAGTGAGAGCCCCCAAATGAAAAATCACGTGCAAGTTGTTCAACATACCTGTCCACGAGATAGCCACAAGGCAAGTTCCCGTTCCGGCTAGATAAGATCTCCCACAAGGAAGGCACCGAAACATGGCCCTGTCCCTTAACGGTCCTTTCGAGCCACGCCGAGATGAAAATGCGGAGTGCAAAACCGTAAAACCTAGCAAGTGTGTTCAAACAGACCAAACAAAACTGCCGTGAAAACAGCCAGGGTGCCAAGATCCACCGGCTCTATACCAACGTCCCAAGCTAATGCGATGGGCACCATGAAAGCGTCCATGATGATGAGAACCAGGCCTCGAACTTCTGTGCACTGAAGGGTTTAGGCTTCAGGAGTTTCGGCTTCAGGGTTCAGGGTTATTATATATAAAAATAATAATAATAAGAATAATAATAATAATGATAATAATGATAATAATAAGAATAATAATAATAATGATAATAATGATAATAAGAATAATAATAATGATAATAATGATAATAATAATAACAATAATAAGAATAAGGCCGTGGTTTACGGATATCGTGAGGGCTTTACCTACTTTCGGTGGACCGTGGATGAGGCTTCTACGAACAACAGATATTTGTAACCTCAAATTAAGACCCTACATCCATACAAAGTCCAGTGATAAACCGCGCATGCAAACTTGACCTTTGCTAGTGTTCGTCTGTTTCCGGAACCATAAACCATATATCCTATATCGGTCCATTTCTGAAGCATCTATTACATGCCTGAAGGGTCGTATTTACGACATGAATCACAAGCTGATTGATGCACCTGATGCGAAACTGTAAGAAACACACAGCATTACTATGATCAGATCAGACCGCAGTCGTAACAGCACGGTCGCATATTTATGGCCCAAGACTCAAAGAAGAAACACTGCCTGCTTCATTCCTAGGCAAAAGGCCTCAAAGTATGGAGTCATAGGGTCGTACTAGACTACTCTTATGCTGTGAAACTCAAAAACTAGAACGGAAGGTTGGGAGGCATTTCGGTTCCTGAGCTGACAAGGTGCCGAGAAGGTCCCAGCACACCCGAACTGGACTGTGTGGGAGGAGCAAGCATTTCGGCTGACGATGTGGTACCATCTCATCATCCGCCTGGTCGCCGACACTTCTGGGTGCACGACACTGATTTAAACCTGACCCTAAACCCTAAACCCTGCAGCTTTTCGTTGCAACAGGCCGGAGACCCTTTCTCAGGGTGTTTTACGGGGCAGTCCCAAAATGACGCTCGTCACATAATTGGGCTCTGTAACAACATTACTTGGAGGTTCATGCGTAGTTATAAGTAGGGTTTTAACTAGGGTAACTATACATATTATAACCCTAATTAGGGGACTTATAACCCCATTTACAACTACCCCTGAACCTCCAAGTATGGTTAGGCTTTCGAGGTTGGGCCCGGGAACCGTGGCACACGGCCTAAGCCATGAGCTTCGGCTGCGGAGCTTGCCGTTTAAGGACACATCGCAGGCGTATATTCCGCATCCAAGTCTGGGACTAGGATGCCCAGTAACCTAGTAATAAAGGGCTCCCTTCTTGGTATTGGATATCTTGATAAGGAACCTAGGACTACAAAAAGGGAATAAGGGTACTACGGGGCATCCTAGAATTACAAGCTCGTGTCACGGAGTCATCATCTACGGTAGTTAGAAGTTCGTGTGCGACTGGCATGATTTTCTGATGTTTCGCCAGCTCACTTTGAACTGTACAGTTGCAATGTTATCCACTTGCATGATAGTTCTGCTACACCGTACGAAAAATGCTGATGAAACTACAGCTTCATCGACATGCGCTAGGCGATGTGGTATATTTTACTTTGCCGGCCCACCCACCCCTCCCCCCGGCCTAAAGCAGCAATGGTCATTACATCTGTCCCAGGCAAACCCCAAGGAGAGGAGTAGTCAAAGTGCTAAGCGAGTAGAGACTCAGGGCTCATCATTCGCTGAGAACTTTGCCAAAATCTTTAAACAGAACCAATATATGTATACATATGTATATATATATACATATATAGAATAACGAAGATTGCATGTTTAGAACCACGAGAGTCTTGACACTGTCAGGCACGCGTCCGAAACATTGGGAGCTCCAGAAGCATTTCAAGCGCCTTGGACATCTGGGGCCGCGAGATGGACTGTGTTTTGGCGATAAGGGCGCCTGCGCCATGCCGGAAGTGGAACCCGGGAGTACTTTTGGGCTTTGAAAGCTTTTGGGGGGCTTTAGGGTTTTGCTGTTTAGTCGTTAGGGCTTAGGGCTTCTGGACTTCTAGGGTTGGGACAAGACTCCTGGGCGAAGCGAAACACAAGAATGCATAGCTGAAGATTACCTCAAGCTAGTTGGCGATCAGTCTGATCTCATGGGACTTGGGATTTGCGGCTTGCCCTCTGCAAAAAGGCTCCTAAACTAAACTGGGAAAAAACTTCAACTCCATAAGCGGAAGAGCTGCCAGGAGTTAAAGTAAGCTTGCCAAAGATCAGGAATCTGAAGCTGGGCCATGACACACCAGCTCATGTCATAAAGCTTCCGATAGAAAAATTCCAAGATACATCCTCTTTACAGAAAAGAAGGCTCCTCGACGTTTTCACCAATAAACCAGATGCTTGAGAATGAACCTCGAGATCCGGTGCCCCAAATCCTGAGCCAACCCGCCTAGATGCCGCTTGGTGCGACGCTGGAACACCTTGCCCTGAGAACCGAGGCTGCCTCAGCGTCGGTTCGTCCGCAGGCATCGGCTTATACTTCGGCTTGGTTCTGAACAGGCTTCGTTGCATCTACTGTGTGTCTAGAACGCCCAGTAACCTAGGAAAAAAATGGCTCCCTTTTTGGTATTGGGTAACTTTATAGGAAACCTAGGACAACATAAAGGGAATAATGGTACTACTGGTCATCCTAGATGTTCATGATGACAAGAAAGCAAAGCCACCACCAGCACCACCGCACAAGCACTAGCACCAGCAACAACACCACAACAACAACAGCAGCAGCAGCAACAGCAACAACAACAACAACAACACGAACAATAACAAGGGAAATAACACGAACACTAGCACCACCGCTTCCAGCAGCAGCAGCAGCAGCACCACCACCACCACCAACAACAACAACAAGAACAACCACGACAACAACAACAACAAAAACAACAACAAGAAGAAGAACAAGAACAGGAACAAGAACAACCACGACAACAACAACAACAACAACAACAACAACAACAACAACAACAACAACAACAACAACAACAACACCAGCAGCAGCAGCAGCAGCAGCAGCAGCAGCAGCAGCAGCAGCAGCAGCAGCAGCAGCAGCCAAAACAGCAGCAACAGCAGCAGCAGCAGCAGCAGCAGCAGCAGCAACAACGATAACATAAACAACACGACCAACAATGCCGCCGCGACCACCACCGCCGCCGCCACCACCACACCCAGCAACAGCAACAGCAAGAAGAGCAAGAACAGCAAGCACAGCACGAACAGCAAGCAAGAACAACGAGACCAACAACCATAACAAGAACACCAACACCAAGACCAACACCGCCACCACCACCACCACCACCACCACCACCACCAACAACAACAACAGCAACAGCAACAGCAACAACGGCAACAAGAACACCAACAAGAACACCACCAACAATCAGCAACCGAACACCACAAAACCAACAACCAACGCCGGAAACCAACACAAGACAACAAACAACCAACAACCAACACAAACCACAACAAAGCAGCAACCAACAACCAACAACAAACCAACAATACACAAATAAACGACAAACAACGCACACACACAAGTTACAACTACACCCTACAATGGCCCTACAACGACCATCTAACAACCAACAACAATATCAAACGACAACACACACAGAACAAGAAGGGCGACGATGCTGGCAAAGCTGGGTCTTCTTGTTGTCAGTGCTAGTGGCATCACACCAAGGACCCTTGGGAGCTGACAGGTTGAACATGGATACAAAGCTAGAGGGTTACATGGACGAGGATGGTCGTCATAAGGGTCATCCCATAAGTTGTGTTGGCATCTTGGGATCAGGGGACTCTCGGTGCTTTGAGCTTGTGTCTCGACTTCTTTGAGCCACGGTTAGGGTTAGGGCGAGGCTTTCAGGTTTAGGCGACTTTGGGTCTCATCGTCCCATCATGCTGACATGAGGTCTTCCACTCTTCGAGGATGTGCTTTGGCCCAAGTCTGAACAGCCAGCCTCGAACAACAATGCGGGTCTTGCCTGCGACTTCGACTCATATAGGTAAATGGAAACCCGTAATTCTAGGGCCTAAACCTCAGCCGTCAATGAACCAACCGAGCAGCAATCCCAGATCCAAGATTCGTATGAGGATCGGCAGCATCCCTGCACTCTAAACCCCACAAACCTCCAGTGAAAAAACCCGAAACCATAAACTTTAAAACGGAAACCCTGAATGTCAAAACTACAAGCCAAAGGCTTGCGCTGCAGAAACCCTAAACCCTAAACCGAGGAGCTCTTGGTGGCCATCTCCATCCAGCGAGGATGGAGTCGCAGCCTGATATACCAAACCACGGGCCCGATTAAGAAACCTTGGGCCTAAAGGGAACTCCAGAAAGTTGGAATATGGATTCAGGGTAGGATACCCTGTAATTTACCATAAAGGGTTTAGGATAATCATATTCCAACTTTCTGGCTTTTACTTTAAGGGTTCCTTTAAAGGGGTCTATAAGGGATCTATAAGGGTACTATAATAATGTAGGAGACTGATTAAGAAACCGTGGGTCTTTATTGGGGTTCTTCTTTTGAGTCCCAATATTTTGGGGTTGTAGGACCGGGGTTTCTTATTTAGGTTCTTACATTTTGTACAAACATCTGTACATGTGTAGCTCTGCCTGCATGCGCCTATCTATCTGTCGCTGTGCTTGTTCATGTGGCTATCGATCTAAAAACCCATCTATCTGTCTATCTATCCACCGGTCAGTGCATCTAACTATCTAACCATTCCGTCGATTAGTGAACCCTAACAGTGAAACCTGCTTATAACAGGTCTTCATCTCTACAAACAACCTTGATTGGGATAAATAAAGACCAGTTCTGACCCCTCAAACCCGGAAACTTAAACCCGGAACCTCTAAACCGTAAACCCTAGACCTCTGCCTTTAAGGTCCAGGTGGCCCTTGACCTTCAGATGCCCCGGCATCGACAAGGTCGCTGCCTTGAATGAGGGCCTCTTGGCAGCTCCAGAAGGGTTCAAGGGCTTCGTTTTTCGGGTCTAGGGCCTCGGGTTTACTCATAGGCCCCATAGTAGTTCTTTTGAGGGGTTCAGATGTAGAATGCTATATAGGGTAATCCCAAAAGGAACTGCTATGGGACCTATGGGTAGGGACAGGCTCAAGATATTGAGAGTAGAAGGGCTTCAAAGGATATTTGATATGGTTCTAGAAAGGCTCTATTCAGGGGTTTAGAGAATATGGGCTTGAGCTTCGAGCTTATGCAGGTGTGGGGATTGGGGTTTGCGGGTGGGCAGGTTCTTCAGGTTTCGGGCTGAACGATGTAAGGTTCCGGCATTGAGGCTCAAGCGCTACAGCCTCATGCTTGGGGCTGTGTGGGTTAAAGCTTCGGGGGTTGAAGCTGTAGGGAGGAAGTTTAAGCCCTAAACCCCATCCCTAAACCCTAAACCCTAAACCGAGAAAAGGTTTGGGGCTTAGAAGTCCATAAGGCTTATTAGGGGTCATCATGCAAGCACGTAGTCTTCTTGGAGAAAGGAGGCCGCCCAGCACCACGTGTAAAGGCTGAACGAAATGCAGAACGCCTTATAGGGTTCAGGGTTTAGGGCCTGGATCCTCCCTGACCAAAAGACAGACGCTCATCTCGGAAAAATTCTTCCGTTCAGATTGCAGAGCTCCGGCTTCAGCACAGTTGACGCCCACTACCGACCTTTAAGAGGATGGTTCCTCTAAGGGCTACAATAGTTTGCAATCATACGAATAACCGGCCGACACCGTGCAGAAACAACTCTGCACTCTTGCAATCAAGGATGCAATATACGGTGCCTGATGCGGGTTGGGGTGGAGAGACCTGTCAGATCAATCAAACCATACGCTCATGTATGAAACGCTCCAGAAACACCCGCATACAAAACCTACAAGACCTAGAAGCCCAAAACCCTAAACCCCAAACCCCCACAAGGCCCCCGGAGTGATCGCCTTTGCTCTATCTGCAGCGACCCACGCCGATCGACTCGCTAGGTCCTGCCATGCGGGGCATCGGGGCCTTAAACGGGTACCAGAAAGTTCTATGCTAAGGGTCCCTTCAGGGATCTTGGCTTCCTTTCAGGGCGGGTTAGTCTTTTTGAGGGCTCCTATGAGGATTCCCTTGAGGTGAATGTTTCAGAAACAGGGGCCTTGATGATTGGAAGAGGAGTTGGGTGCAAATTACGCGGGGAGTGTGAGAAGGATTCCTAAGGAATGGTGCAAGTCATCCTGGTATATCTTATAGTCGAGTTACAGAGAGGGGCTGTGGAAGAATAGTATTTGTATGTATTTGTAGTTCTTCTTCCGAGCCCTACACTATTGCGTTCCCCCGTCGACTGAAAGTCTGTTTAGGCATCCAGCATTTAGGGTTTAGGGTTGTTGCTGAGTTTAGAAGGCGTACGGTTTTAGGAGGGCTGTGTAGGTGTACTCGATCGGTACAAGGGACTATTGGGACGAAGGACTTAGAGATTCTCGGCTTGGGATGCTGATGGATTTAGAGTTCGGTGTTCAGGTTAGGGTCCACAATCCCCTGCAGAGCCGCGATTGGAGCAGAGCAACCCTTAACGCCTACACACCAGAAGAGATGATGCAGACCACTAATTCCGAATCCGCCCCATGTCCCCTAAACCCTAAACCCCAAAACCGTGCATGGCAGTACCGGCCATCAACACAGTCGAACCGTGGTCCAGAACGACCTTATACGGCTAACGATCGATCAGACTTATCCCCAAACCCTGGAACACAGGCACTAAATCCTAAACCCTAAACCCTGAACGATCTCTCAGACTTATCCCCAAACCCTAAATCCTAAACCCGAAAATCAACGAGCCGATCTTCCGCGAAACAACCTTCCAAGCCAAGCTCCCTACTCTACGCGTGAGGGTAGAAGCCTTTACCTGAGCTCACAACCTCCTTAAACCCTGATCTTCGGGTTTTTCTAGGGGCACATCGAACTCTAATCCCGCCAAAGCCCTGAAACCCGAAGCCCCCGAGCCAAAAACAAGAACTCTCCTGGAAGCCGTGGCTGTGACTGGCGAGAACCGAAGGCACCTCTGGATCCAAGCTCAGGGTCTTCTGGCTCCAGGTTTAGTTGAGGGGGGCTTAAGGGGCAGAGGAGTTTAGGATACAGAGTTTTCTGAAGTATCGGGACTACAGGGCTTAGGAGTACGAGGGTATGAAGATGAACCTGAGAACATACATGCATAGCTACATAAGGCAGACAGACAGAGAGAGAGAGAGAGAGAGAGAGAGAGAGAGAGAGAGAGAAGGAGAGAGAGAGACAGGGAGAGAGAGAGGAGGACGTGGGCTGGGCACTACAGGATTCAACAACTGAACGAGCTTTTGAGAACCCGAGATTCCTGGGAGTGTCTCCTACGACACGTACATGATGCTTACAATACGGATATGAAAGAATGCTCGATTTCCTCACCTGGGTTCGCCTGTCCGAAGGTCCAATGCTGAAATACCCCCTGAACCTAAAACTTCTTCTGCACCCTCCAACACCAAACCCTGAAACCTTAAACTCAAACACCTGAACCCCAGCCCACAGATACCAAGAGCTAAAGCCTAACATCCAACAGACCCTTAGCCTGAAACCTTAAAGACTAAACACTGAAGCCCTGAAATCTGAAATAAACACCCAAACCCGAAGCACTAAGCACCGGGTTTAGGGTTTAGGGTTTAGGACCTCACATGTTTAAATCCGCTTTTTTGTTCCATGGCCGCTGACCTCCAGAGCCGAGGGCTTCTCGGCCGCCAAGACTTCCGGGCCTAGGCGAAGGCAAGAACAATTTCGGGCATAGGGCTTCAGAGTTGAGAGCTTAAGATTAGCGTTTAGGGGTTCTTTGGGATTTAGTTGCGTTGCAAAGCGCCTTTTTCAATTTTCCGTCTTTGTTTAGGCTGGAGGTCTTACAAAAGGGTTCTAGATGGACTCTATGCGGTTCTATACTAGAAGGGTTTTTAGGCGCTCCACAATGGCTTCGAATGATAGGGTTGCTTTTGTGGGTTCCCTAAGCAAAGGCAAGTTCAGGCTGCTTGGCTTAGGGTTCCAAGAGGTTGGTTGAGGGCTGAGGGGATAGGGGCTTAGCTTCAGGGTGTTGGCGTATAAGCTTTCCGTTTCCAGCCTCTTTCCTCCTCTAATGGGGTTTAGGGTTTATTTAGGCATCACACCATGAAGTTTGCGGCCAATGGGGTTTAGGCGCTTAGGGGTCTAGTTTTGTAGACCTGACTTAGAGGGCGTTCAGAAGGCAACAGAATAACGACAAAGCCTTCTGTGATTGTAGTTTCATTGTAAAGACATCGGAAGCTCTAGTGACTCCAGGGGGCACGCTGTTCATATCTCTCCTTGTCGCCATCATGGAAGTCATCACCGACACCACAAACTACCGTGAGCATCGTAGTTTACAATCACCATAAAAATCACCATAATCTTCCTCATCATCATCTTCTCCTTCCTCCTCATCCTCCTCACCATCACTGCATCTGAAGTACTCGACTGCATCTTCTGACCGAGTTTCTTAAAGAGTTGGTGAGCACCAGGGGCTCTTCCAACTCAGGGCCCAGCCTGGACTTTCGAGAGCATGTGGGAGTTAGGGGTACCTTGTTTCGGGGTCCGAAATAGTAAGGGTCTACTATTTAAGGTAGTATATTAGTCCCCTATGTTCGCAAACTCCCATGATTTTTCAGTGGGACGGGACGGGGGCGGCGTGGGGGGATCGGGCCTAGGGCGTGGAGGGGGGCAAAACCTAGCATCGGAGGGCAGAGGGGAGGTCTGGTTGTCGAGCTCATCAGAGCAAAGTTGGAATATCGCCCCACTCCAGTGCACTTGAAGAAAAGCTTGAACCCTTTCACAGACTTAAATTTGAGGTGTAATGAGCAGTGTAACACGACCTTCAGATGTATACTTCATGCACAGCATCCGAGCAAGAACTGTAAGCACCAATGCCCGACCGTTTGTAGGCTTCTTCCAATTAACTACTCAACTCGGGCTGTCTATGTTCTTGCTCGCGAGCTTCATGTTGTAAGAGTAATCTAGGGGCCTTCACAATCAGAAGAGGGCATGGGGTTCCTTTATAGTCCATTATAGTCCAGTTCTATCAAGGAAACCAAAGGAACAAAAAGATGTAATTATTTGGGCTTCTATATCGCATGCTTGAGGCGCGGTCGATGTATGGTCTAGCAGTGCTTTCGACGGCAAGGATCCACCGTTCCCGGCTGAAGAATCCCAAGCAGCTCAAGAGAACAAGGCCTGTAACCTCTTCCGAAAACCCAAACCGCCAAAACCTAAATCCGAAACCCCGAATCCTGGACTGCATTCCCTACTAACCAAAGGTAAGATCAAGGTACCTCACTGACTCGATCCAGGGACCCTAAACCCTAAACCCTCAACCCAACCGTGCCTCACTGACTCGATCCTGGGACTCTCCAGCACCGGAATCATCTCCGTCCCAAGGCTCGAGAGCTCCTCACGTACCTCTTGGTTTTCCTTTCTCGCCTTTTTGGCTAGACCTAAGAGTAACCCAGGAATAAAAAGGGTGCCCTTTTTGGCCTAAAGCGGGTTATAAGGGAACCTGAACCCCCAAAAAAAAGGCATAACGGCCTACTCTGGGTCCTAGTTGTTGGTGTAGTGTTTCGGGTTCAGGGGTTTAGGTGCAAAGTTGTGGACTCGGGCTTCAGGTGTTCAGCGTTGGTATAGGATGCTTCGAGTGCCTGAACTAGCTATAGAGGCCTTACAGAACGAGGACTCGGGAGGGCCCGTACACAACAAACAAGGAACTCGTGTTTGCGCACTGGCCTCCAAGATTTGGGCATCATCCATACTGCTGCTGGCTCAGTCATGATACTTTCTGTTCACATAGAAGTGCTGCCCCCATGTATACACCACATTCAAGCCCTTCAAAAAATAGAGATAGAGACATAGATGGAGATTAAGATAGCGATCGAGATCAATGTCGAAATCGATATCGCGAGATCAAGAGATAGTTAGATAGGTAGATAGTCGGATCGATAGATAGGTCGATAAATAGATGAAAAACAGAGAGGTAAAAATATGATATATATATATATATATATGTATATATATATATATATATACATATATATATATATATACATATATATATATATATATATATATGTATATTCAGAAAGATAGATCGATAGATAGACAGATAGTTAGACAGATAGACAGAGAGATAGAGGGGTAGATAAATCGAGGGATAGACAGATAGACAGGTAGACAGACAGTCAGACTCATAGACCGGTCGACTGGTAGCAGACGTAAGCAACTGAATACACTAAGGTGCCAAATAGGTCCGGTCTTGTGCGGTCTAGTTCGCATAAAAAAAGTGTACATGAGAGCTAAAATCTAGGGAATCTAGGGACGGTAATGAATATCTGCTAAATGGTTATTCAAGCACCACTATTCATATGGGTGGTTGTCAAAATTAGGGTCCCTTTTTGGGTCCTTATTATAATACGGCACCTAATATTTAGGGTACCCAAAAAGGGACCATAATTTTGACAACCACCCAAAGGTAGCCCCCGAGGATGACAGCCTGAAACTACGAAAGACCCAGTGCTCGGGTTTCAAGATTACCTTTATAACCCCAAGAGTTAGGGAACCCTAGCAAGGTAGGTTCCTTAGGGTTCAGGTAGTGGTTGAGGGTGAGGGTTTCGGGTTCATGGGTTTAGGGGTTCAGGGTTTTAGGGTTCAGGGGCTAAAGGTTAGGGTTTAGAAATTAGGGTTCTTGCTGGGGTGGCCTCGACCAAACCATGGCGCAGCTGATTGAAGGAAAGCTCCAGTTGCTCCTGCCAGCATATCCTTTAAGATGTCTGCTTTGGTAAACGGCGTTTTGAAGTCCGGGTTCATAGATCATAGAGTTTCGGGCACTTAATGTATGTTCGTCTGTAGCATATTAGGGTTTAGGGTTTAGGGGTTTAGGGTTTAGGGTTTAGCTTTCTGCGACGGCTTCTAGGAGTCCAGATTCATTGTGTCATAGGATGTTGGAGCTCATTGGGTGTATTAGCTGGGAGTTTCCGAAAATTGGGGGGGTACCTTATTTTGGGGCTCTTATGATAAGGAGGATACTATTAGGGTACTATTTTAAGGTCCCCTATTTTCGGAATTCCCAATTAGGAATTGGAGCTCACACGGCTTTCGGCTTCTAAGTCCCTCATGCACTCGGTAGTGCAGTTCTAGACACAAGAGTAACCTAGGAATAGAAAGGGTGCCCTTTTTGGTTTAAAGGGGCTTATAAGGGAACCTGAACCCTAAAAAAGGGAATAAGGGCCTACTCTAGGTCCTAGAGTTTGGGCAATTGACTGCATAGGTCCACGCGACCAAGGAAGTTAGACACTCACTCAGGCAGGCATCCTGGAGTCCCCGCAAACCTAACCGTCTGAAGCCCCAAACCCTATGTAAAACTGAAACCGAAAACCCTCAACCCCGCAGCCGAAAGATCCTAAACCCTACATCCATGGTAGCGCCTCCAAGGATAGCAGGCTTCGCAGGGGCGTGCGCTCTGCACAACCCGTGCATTGCATCCTCAGCTTCTCTTCAGCCCGGGACCCCTAACCCCGAGCCTTGGTGCCTTGGTTTGCTTCGGAGTTTCCAGGCTGTGCAAGGGTTTTGGGGTGTGTTTCTCTCTTTTCGGGTTTGGGTTTGGGGTTTAGGTCTGTTGGGGTATGAGGTGGTTTAAGCTCTAACTACAATGTCTTCTACGGTTCAGGGTGCAGGGCCCGGGGGCGCCTTGTTGGGGCGCCTTGCCGGGCTGAACCTTGTTGAGTTTCGGGTTAAGGCTCAAGCACCTCTTGGTCTTGTATTCCGTAAAAAAATGACAAACCTACAATCACGAATATCCTAAGTTCACTCGCCAAGTAAGGAACAAACCAGAAAGACCTATAACAGCCCAAAAGCTAACACAAACCGACCCACAAGACAGTGAAAACAGTGCAGCAATCTAGCTAACGAAAAACCACCAACAGCGATTCTATCTCCACGAAAAGACGGCCAAGAAGGAACACTTAAGGGTCATACAAAAGCAATGGAAGGAAGAAACCATTGCAAAGAGTCCGGCATTGCAAATGCGAAAACAACACACTCTTTCTAAGCACCACAGAAACCTGCAAAGCACAGAAGTAGCGAGAAACCACCTACAACAATGAGTGACCTACACCGTGAAGACAGAAGACAGCATCTTCATAAGCTAAGGACACGATGAGTCACAGAAACATCCTGGCTACCTGTAGTTAGTTCACCAAAACATACATGAGCAAAAGGGCAAAAAACAAAACAACGACAACAACAACAACAACAACATCATCTACACACGTACCCAGCACCCTAAATCCGGATCTCGCCACCACGAGGGTGTCGGAAAGGCAGGGCCAGGCATGGCTCTGTTAGCTCAAATCGAAGAAACGACTACAGTTTGCTTGTACGTTGCAATTCCAATTGTTTCACAAGGCGATTAACATGTTCGGCTTGTGTTTTTTAATTTAGGTTCAACCTGGGTTCAAGTGTCACGGGCGAGTTAAATTTCATGCGGTTGCCATACGGTCTTTTTGGGGCTAACGCTGCGTCTTCTGCTGCAGAAGATGCGTACAAGTATCGATGGTCTTTATGGGGTTCGATCTTAGATTGGGTATAGAAGTTCGTATATATATGTATATAACTACATAATACAGACATATTTTTCGGCTTGTGGATGTATCTAAAGACCCCTCTCGAGCCGAGATGATAAAACGGACATCCGGAAACTTGTTTGGAGCACTCTGAAGCACAAGTCCGGGTATCTTCCTCGTCTGGGCAGCCTGAGACTTACATCAGAGAGCCTGCTCGTGGCAGATCGAAGTGAACGATATGACAGCCACCAGCCGCACTCTCATCTTTCCGATTCGTTCAGGTGGGGGTGGAAGGGTGGAAGGCTTGGAGGTTACTATAGGGGCCTTAATATTTAGAATGGGGTTTTGGCGCCCATGATACTATAGCTACAATAAGATACCTCCAGAATAGTGGAGGTAATTAACTATTTAGGCCTCTACATTAGCCGCCGCTTGGGCATCTCAGGAAATCGGGTGGAACATTTCCGACACATGCACGAACGCGTCCAGCACAGCTCTTGCAGCCCCTCAGCACAAAACTCAAAAGCTCGTAGACAAAAGAACAAGGCAACACTTAGGACTCAGGCTTTATGCTTCAGGACAGTGCAGGCTTTCTACTAAGCTATGAGCCTAGAACCACGATAATCCCAAAGCCGAAGCAGTCTTGCCCTAAACCCCACCAAGCCACGTCAAATCACGAAATCCAAGAGCCAATCTGAGACTCCAGGACACACTTGCCTGAGCCCAGAATACCTTAAACCCCAAAATCCTAAACACTAAACCCCTAATATAAACCCTCAACTGTAAACCCTCAACTTTAAACCCTCAACCCTCAACTTTAAACCCTCAACCCTAAACCCTCAACCCTAAACCCTCAACTTTAAACCCTCAACCCTCAAGCATACATTATGACTGTCAGACTCAGGGTCCCCATCGCCCCACTCCCAGCAGGTGGCTCCTTAGTCCTCCCTTCTCCTTGACTCCTTGCCGCAGGTTCCTTCCAGAGAACTTCTTTTCGGGCTTTTATTTCGTAGTAGTAGCAGTAGTGGTAGTAGTGGTAGTAGTGGTAGTAGTAGGAGTAGCAGTAGCAGTAGCTGATTACTGCTCGGTTATTCAGAGCTCTATCAGCTGTGGGGGAAGCCTGAGGTATCAAAAGCTAAGTTCTGAGGGTGCAGTGACACCTGATATGCTAAACCCGAGCGCCCTAAGCCGTTCATGCGGAAACTTCAACTTCAGTGAGCTTGGGATGGAGGAACGACAGGACTTCGACAGCAGCACGGCAACTGCCAGGGGGAGAATGAGAACTCGCGGCTTTTGTAATATGGGAGTTTCCGAATATTAGGGGTAATTACCCTGTTTTGGGGTCCTTATAGTACGGATCCTACTACTTAGGGTCCCCTGTTTTCGGAAACTCCCAGATGATAACTGCGACCCCCACTTTCAGCATCAGCAGTATCAGAAAGACCAGTGAGCGTTGTTGTTATGCTGCGGAAGCTTAAGAGGTTTGGTCGTGGACGCCATCAGTTCAGAGGAGCCTCAAGATGATCGGCCTTGATGCTTACTGAACTTAGAACCCTAGCAAAAATTATAATCAATTTAGCTGTTTCTTAGGGATTATAAATAACCAAAAATTAAAAACTATGTCTAAGTACCCCTAAGTGATGTTTAAACAGCCAAAGACTTCCTGGTCGACTCCTTCACGAACTCTCTCTCAAGACAAAAACATCGGCATCTCATACCCCTGAATCTCGCAGATGCCTCTTGCATGAAAACCCAAACTCCATCTCTTGGATGGTTCCGAATACTAAGTATTTGGAGTCCAATAGACGGTGGATGGGGGGTCTAGGCAGGTTTTGATTGCATCTTCAAAATCGAGGCCGCTGCGCTGGGAGGAGTGCTCCGAGGTCAGAAAGCAGCAGGGAACGGCGAGGGCGGCTGAGCAGGACCAAATGAGCACGGGCGAGATTTAGACTGCTTGGGCTCAGCGTTCGAAGGACCCTAGGGCCTGACTCTAGCGCTTTAGAGTCCAGGGTCTATAGGGCTTGGAGCTTCGCGCAACTATATAGAGTTTAGGGTGCAGAACAACGTGATGAACATACCGCATGATGATATGTCATATGCTTTAATACTCAAGCTTTGCTGTGGTGTACCACGAGCCCTTTAACATTCGCGCTGGCTTCAGTGCGACAAGCCTGCAACCAGATTGCAGGGGTTCAGGTTTGGGTGCGGTTTCGCTTGTGTCCCACTCCTGAAACCCCAAACCCTAAAGCCCAAACCACTACACCATGAACCCCTAAACCCTGAACACCTCTTGGCTCTCGATTCGACCAAACCTAGACACCCAAGGAGCTAAACCCAAAGCCTCAACCCTAGTATTAGATTAGCATAGTGTTTCGTGGCACACTACTATACTATACATACAATCCCAAGGAATAATGGGAAATAGTATTGGGACCTCCTGAGGCTTCTGGAGTAAACCTTCAGCCTCCATTCCCGAAGCCCTAAACAGTAACCCTCCCAAATCTTTACCCAAAATACCTTACAGCGCCGAACAGCTGTCGAACCCAAAGCCAAAGCTCTCCACCCGCCCGCCCCCACCCACCCACCCACCTACCCAATAGTACAGAAGCCTCCATAAACAAGAAGGCAATACTCTCGAGCCTTCGTGTCAAGTGATAGTATAAGATACCCCCACAACCCCACTTTAATTAATTGCGGAATAAGGCCTCTAAGTCCTCGCGCCCGTACGCAAACCTTTTGAGGAACCCGTTGAAGGAACTGTTCTAATCTTGCAGGCCCCTACATTATCGAAGATGCTGGGCAACAGGCGTGCCCAGGAGCAGCACGAGCTGGGACAAGAGAGCTGGCCTCAGTACATAAGGGCTTTAGGGTTTAGGAGTTTAGGGTTTAGGGCTTCAAGCCACGCAATCGGGCCAGATTTGGGTTTGGGGTTTAGGGATGTTTAGGGCAAGCAAATCCACGCATCTAACCCTACGCGAACCCCCTGAGCCATGAGCCATTTAAGGCCCTCAGCGCCAAGAGCCCTGACACCGAAGACCATTTAAGTCCCTAACACCTCCACCATTACCAATATACCCTAAACCCTCAAACTGGACGCTCCTAAACTTATAAACCCTATGTGTACTATGTGTAAGAGTGAACAGCAGGCCTTTTCAGCCCATTGTCCGGGTGCCTGCCTCCATGTCTGGCAGCGTTGAAGTTGCTGTGCAGCTTGCATGGGTTTTGAGTGGGCATAAATTATCATGTGATGAGGTCGTTTCGAAGGTTATGTGACGCCCGAAGGCCTACGCATGACTCAATGTTGAGGTCCATGTGACAAAGCTTTGCGCTTCAGGGCAGTGGCTTGAGAAAGTTAGCTGGATAAGCGACGGCACCAGTGTTGGAGAGAAGCCGCGATGGCACCAGCAAAAGAGTCTGCTGGAAGGGAGCTGCGACGGTCTCAGCACTCGAGGGTGCTGCGCCCCGGCTTTGGAAGACGAGGGAACCACGTGCAGAAGTCATTCTCGAGTTGCTGGGCAGGCTGTCCTTGGCGTGTAGTGCCCTCTGGTGCGCTCTGTCTGTGTGATGGCAGCAGCTTTGGCCAACGGTAAGTGAAAGTCAAATCCGGACGATGCGGAAGCGAGTCTTTGCAGCAGGAGGGCTATGGATGGTTTCCACGCAAGAACCTGCATGGACTGGAGGCAACCACGCCGAACAAATGCACCCTGCCGCCTGTTGATGGTCAGCATGCTAGGGGGAGTGTGTAAGAGTGAACAGAAGGCCTGAAGAGCCCGTTGTCCGGGTGCGTGCCTCAATGTCTGGCAGCCTTGAAGTGGCTGTGCAGCTTGCATGGGTGGTGAGTGGGCATAAATTATCATGTGATGAGGTCGTTTCGCACCCTGAACCCCATCAACACCCCTAAACCCCTTCTGGGAGTCCTGCTCGTAGAGCTGAGGATCCGCGGGATCACCTCGCGCTGGAGACTTTAAGGTGCAGGATTCAAGGTTTAGGGTTTGGGGCTAGTTTACTGTAAAGCTCAAAATCCCAGACGCCTATATACACCCTAAAGCCTAACAAGCCCTTGAAGCAAAATCATCTACAGAACGGATTACTCGACTCTGGCTATATACCGACAGCACCCGACTAGATAGGCAAGTGGGCTTCCAAGGATTTCTCTTCCTTTGCAGGACCTTACGTAGGGTATACATTCAGGGCGGCCCGCGCTATATAATCATTACAGTACGATGTGATATGGTGTAGACATAGACCTGGGCAATGCAGGAGCCATACTTTCACCAGATGAGGCTAAGGGTTTCCAACGTTAGTCGGGGCAGCCGAAAAACTAAATCTGGGTACAGCTCGATCAGGTATCAAGCACTCAACAGTATGTAGAGTCTGGAGTTTCGAGCAAGACAGAGCCTCTGACCCCAAATCCTAAAGTGCTCACATGTTACTAGAGGTGTCGAACTTCGAACTTCTCGGCACACAGAGCAGTTCACGCAACTTATATGTATCCGGGGCCAAAGCTGGGGTTTCCCTAAAGTTTTTCCAAGGTCAGAGTTCCGCGAAGAGGTCCAGTGCCGCCAATGACCAGACTTAGGTTTAGGGAGACAAAAAGCTGTATGACAATCTTGGAAGGGCATGACTATTGCAGGCATTTAAAGACTTAGCTCGACAATGCCACCACAATCAATCAGGAATCGATACCTCCACAAAGAATTCACGGGAATTGTGCAGTCAAGCGTCTTCATGATGACCTCAATAATGGACCCGAATCTAGACAACCCGGCAT